GCAATGCAAGTAGTATATGTTTTCTCCTATCCATTAGCACACGGATGGTGAAAACAAATCTAATTACTTGCTTTCGAAAGTATTGGATTACTAGGAAGCAAATAAATCTAATAAACCTCATATGTAATGAATTCATGACTGTAGTCTGTTAACAATATACTACTAACCTTGATACAATGAAAAGAAGCATCCTTCAAGGTAGAAAAAACAAAAATGTCAGGAAAAATGAAACTATAAATGTTTAGCAGTAAGTTATCAGACACGTATTTTTTGTTCAATAATAGGCTACTGAACAAGTATTTTTTGTTATGTATTTTTTGTTAGACAATATGATTCTAGGTAATTTGATTTCGTTTGATTTTGGTACACAGAACAAAAGTCGAATAACCCTCTTCAAAAGTGAAATGAAAGCATAAAAAACCAAAAATGCATTATTTCACTTTTGTGCTGGTCCTTCATCACCATTTATTCGTCAATTGCTTTCTTTTGTGATCAAAACACTTTTTGAAAGTAGATGTATAGTATAGAAGAAAAAATGAGAAGAATGAAAAAAAATGCAGAGATTAAAGTGTAATAGGTGCAAAAAGATAATCAAATCTATTTAATTTTTATCTTTTGTCCATAAAGGTTGTTGGGGCAATCCCACATGGTCTGGGAGGGACACTTGCAACCAACTTATAAGCGTACTGGCCCCCTCCCCCTTGTAAGATGCGTTTTAAAGCCGTGAGGCCGACGGACGTTGTTTCGCCACCTTGCCAGAGCCGACAATATCTTGTCGGGGCGCAAGAAGCCAGTCACGTGAGTTTGGTAGCCCATGCAGATTGTCCAGCAAACTTCCCCGCTGTTCGCTGCCCAGTACGCTGGGGGGTTATGTTGGGGCAATCCCACATCGCCTGGGAGGGACACTTGCAACCAACTTATAAACATACTGGCCCCCTCCCCCTTGTAAGACGCATTTTAAAGCCGTGAGGCCGACGAGCGTTGGCAAAACAACGTCTGTCGGCCTCACGGCTTTAAAACGTAACGCGTTCGGCCCCGTCTTTTCCACTTCAAGTCATCACGTGACGCGCCGCCTCTCGAGCCCCACACCTCGCCATCTTACCCTTCGCGGTCGGCCCTTCTCAAGGTCGGTTCCTCCACTCGGCTATCCTTCGCGATCGGCCCTCCTCACGGTCAGTCCCTCCACTCGGCTACCTTCGCGGTCGGCCCTCCTCACGGTCGGTCCTTTCACTCGGCTACCCTTCGTTGTCGGCCCTCCTCACGGTCAGTTTCTCCACTCGGCTACCCTTCGCGGTTGGCCTTCCTCACAATCGGTCCCTTCACTCGGCTACCCTTCGCGGTCGGCCCTCCTCATGATTGGTCCCTCCACTCAACTACTCTCCGCGGTCGGCCCTCCTCGTGATCGATTCCCCCACTCGGTCACCCTTCGCGGTCGGCCCTCTTCACAGTCGGTCCCTCCACTCGACCACTTCTGGTCGGTCGTTCATTTCTCTTGACCTTCAACCTCCATCTTCCTCATTATTCCCTTCGTTGGATTAAAGCTGCACTTGAGAATGGGGGACTACTGATGTGGGTAGGCCCATAAAGGCATAACCCACTATGAACAACCCAAGCCTATTACTTAGGGCCCAATACATAACACAACTAATAAGGCCCAGTACCATCCGGAAGTCAACATGGCATGAAGGACCAATGATATCCAGACACGTGGCAGATAAAAGGCAAGCCACATCAGCAGACAAAGATCTGCAAAGTTACTACCACTGTACATCGCCATTAATGCAGCTCCTCACTACATTTATTACGACAACACCTCTCCGTCGGGACAACACGCCCTCACCCTGAACAAGGTAAGCTACAGTATAGACTTTTGGCCATGGTGACAGGTCGGAAGGGATAACGAAATGATTACCAAAGGATATAAGCAAACGTTGAAGACAAGAAGAAGGTTAACCTTTTCTATCTCTAATCTATCTACGTATTCCACTTCTTTTCTCTAACTTGCTCGTCGGAGGGTTCGCTAGGGGACTCCCCGTTCCCCGTTGAACTCTTGTGCAGGTTCCCTGATGGGCTTAGTCATTCGGATATTAGGCTTGAGGAGCGTGGATCATTCAAACTTGTCCTACCATCAAAAACTACATCATCAAAGGTAATTTCACACATAGATAAAATTAAAAAAATAAAAATAAATCTCAATTGGAGGGCATAAAGAGATAAATGTGTTGTATAAGTATAATTTTTTAAAAAATAATTTGGACTAAATGGAATATAAGTAGGTGAATAAGAATTTATGAATAAATGCCCATTGTATAATTTTTTAGTTTTTTTATTAAAAAATGTGCAAAAAAAAGAAGGATAAATTACCAATAAGTCCTACCTTTGGGACTTATTATTCATTAAGTTCTATTGATATGATAAATTTATCAGTCTCTATTGTTTTTATGAATAAATTTACGGTGATAAATTTATCAATAAGAATATGTAAGTAAATAACTTTAGTTAATATATATGACCCCAAAAAAAGAGAGAAATTGTACTATACACTTCTAACCATGCTATTTTATTATTTAATTATAACTAATTTTCTTCTTTAGTTATTATCTTATTTTAATTTGGATACTTAATAAGTGGCCTTCTTGTCGTCTTATGAAAAAAAATTGTTATAAAAAAGTCACTAATTGTAAATTTTAAAGATAATTTATAAAAATCATGACAAAAAAGTCACTAATTGTCAATTTTTAGCGACATATATATAAAATTGTCAGGAAAAATTATTTTTAGCGACAGTTTTACCAAGACTTATTTTTAATAGGACTTGATGGGAATTAACTCTAACTATTAGAACCTATTAGTAGTTTACTCTTTTAATTTTGACTCATGAGATTTTTGATTATGCCTTATGTGTTATTTGGTTATAATTTTTTTTTTTTTTTTTTTTTTTTTTTTTTTTTTTATAGTTATGACTAAAAAAATATTAAGTTATGTTATTTTTTTTTTAAGTTATAAAGTACATATGGTACACATTCCATAGTCTTTTTCAAAAAAGAGTACATGATTTTTATTGTAGAGAAAACTACATGCAAATGAGAGTTGGGAAAAAAAATAACCAACACATAGAAGGGTGCATAGTCTTTCATTTGAACCCATCATATATACACTTGCACCCCTATATGTTGGTAATTTTTTTTTTCTTCTCCTATATGCATTTAGTTCCCCTTTTATTGTATTACTTTCTAACTTTTTTGATTTTTTAGTAATTTTTAGATTTTTTTAACTAAAAAAAAAAATGACAAATGCACTTTTAGATCGTTTCCAATGTTTACTCATTTGTTTCATCAAATTTAAGTAAAAACTCCATCTGATATCACAGCTCCAACAGAGAATTTTGGACTATCATCAAATCACCGATCGACTAGCTAGTATAATTTTCAATAAAATCTGAAATATGCTATGGATAATTTATCACCGAAGTGGTCATTTGGGGGGATAATCGGCCAGTTGTCTAGTAGTGTTGTACTACCTGCAACTCTAACGGTTCTGAATAGTAAATTGGTGAAAACCACAATCATCCTTAATTTGATGAAAACTTTGTCTTCGTTTGGGATGTGGGTTGACTTTTTGACTTTTTGGCTGTTTGAGCTCATGGTTAAAAAGTTTCGTTTGGGATAAACTTTTTGACTTTTTAAATTTTTGTAAGAGAAAAAAATGAAATGATTATAATTTGAAAGTGATATTTTATTTCATTATTTTTTTAATTTATTTTATCTTTTTATAAGTATTTTACTCTAAATAGTCTATGCCAAACATAGCCATTAACATATTCTAATTTTTTTTTTATTGATTTGACGAAATTATTGAAGTAATAACAACTCACTAAATTTGATGAAACAAAATGTGCAGCATTAGAGATGGTATTAGCCTTCGTTTGGCAATGACTTTTTTAGTTGATTTTTTGATTTTTTTGACTTTTTTAGCCTAAGACTTTTTTAGTCGTTTGGTATTTTTATTTATTTATTTATTTTTTTTTTTGTTACAGGAAAATCCTCATACTCTCCCGCAGGTCCAAGGCAGCGCCCCTTGAGGAGATCACTAGGGTGTCCTGTTATCTGTTCTGAGTAAGAGACTATAACCTGGAAGCTTGTTCCGACTTCCCAAGACAAGCTCCGCTTAAGTCAAGGCTCGCACAACGGGAGAGCATTAAACCCACACCAAGCTGCTGATTAGGCATCCTGAGATCAACCTCCCAACCAACTGTGCTACGCCCAGGAGATTGGCCCAGAGGGGAATCGAACCCAGGACCTAGGAGCTTAAACCCTAGGCCCTTACTAGGTTACCACCCACCCCTGGGTTTGTCGTTTGGTATTTTTATTTGGCTTTTTTGACTTTTTGGCTTTGGAATGGTATATTTTTTTTTGTCTTTTTGCTTATTTTGTCCTTTTGTGATTTTTTGATTTTTTTTTTGTCCTTTTATGCTTATTTAGCCCAAAAGAAAAACCAAACATCACTATAGGTTCCGTTTGGTAGAGCTGTGAGAAAGTGATTATAACTTATAGCCTAACAGCTTATAATTTATAACTGTGAACATAAACTGATTTTTGACTTATAAATTAAGCTTTTTCTCCTCCACTCAAAGAATAAGTTAATTTTTGACTAACAAAAAGTTATAAGCTATATTATTAAGTTGAACCAAACACATCAAAATAATTTAAATTAAGCTAAAAACTGAAATAAGTTGAAAATAAGCTCTATTATTAAGTTGAACCAAACACATCAAAATAATTAAAATTAAACTAAAAATTAAAATAAATTAAAAATAAGTCCTATCAAACAGGGCCTTAGTCCTACTTGTATTTTCATAAAATATAATATATAATTTTAAATTATTCATCTTTAAATATAATTTTCCTTTTTTTTTTTTTTGGGTCTGAAATTCATTTTCAAATTTGCCATTTCACCAGAAGCGAATTGTCCTTAAAAACCGTGATGTGACTTGAGAGAGAGAGAGTACCACAACAGCAGAGTCTTAAGAGAGAGAGAGAGAGAGTATTTACCCCAGTTTCGACTCTTTATTCTCTCTCCTCCTCTCTCTCTTCCACAACGGCTACGCCTCACTTTTCACTTCCCTCGCAGGAGAGCATCATTGCCAATGAAGTTCTCAACCAGCACAGCAGCAATGGAACTCCGCCTAGGGTTTCGAGCTTTGCTTCAGGCAAGAAGCTTTTTGCCTGGGTCGTTTTCCACTCTCTGTTCTTCTTCGATGTTCAAAACCTTCGCGTTTTTCAGTCCTCAGAGAGCGTGTCAACGACATCACTCGCTTTCTCTGGCAGTTCAATCTTTGCTGAAAGCTTTGAAGATTCTCTATAATATCTCTGTGCTCTTTGTCTTTTGATCTGAATTCTTGTTGATTTTGAATATTCAACTGACTGAATTATGCTACAATTTAGAGATTTTAAGTTGGAATCTGAGATTCGGTTGATTTGAATCATCCGAATTCTCACTATTTATATAACAATTTTGCAGAAGAAACTTTCTTCTCTCTCTCTCTCTCTCTCTCTCTTGAGTTTCTCGGCTAGAAAGTTAATAATGTTCGTCGTTTGCTGTTAATTCTCTTTTTACAGTGTTTTCCTGTACTGTTACTGTTCTTGTTTGTCGTATGCGAATTTGAGTCAATTGGCGATATATATATTTTTTTGGTTCAATTTTGTTTCGTAAATATGTAATATGCAAATACACTTACTTGAATTTATAACTCCCAGTTGGTTTCTGCGATGTTTGTGCTTTTGTATTTGATTATTTCCTGTGACAATTTTGCTCTGAGTTTTTTCTTCTTCTTTAATGTTGGTGAATTGCAGTTCATCTGCTTTTTGCTGTGTCGTCTTTTACTGTTACTGTTGTTGTTTGTCGTGACTCATATGCGAATTGAGTCAGTTGACAATAGTTTTTTGGGGGTCAATTTTGTTTCGTAAAATTTTAATATGCAAATACAGTTCATTGAATTTATCACTCCCAACTGGTTTATGCGATGTTTGGGCTTTTTTGTTTGATTCATCTGTGATGAAAGTATTGAATATATTCCATGGTTGTACTTGTATTATTTTTTTCTTTTTTTGTAATTAAATGTGACATATTTGATTCTTACAAAAAAAATAAATAAAAAAAATAATAATAATAATAATAAAAAATAAAATAAAATATTAGAGACAAACTCTAGTGGCTTATTTGTTTTTTTACCGGCTAAAGTCAATTGTTAGTTGTTATTCAACTCGCCTTAGGAGAGTTGAACCATGATCTGTAGTGGCTCATGAGGAACGTCTGTTCTTGACATGTTCTGGTATTTGCAATGGCATAGTTCGGTTTAGGCCTTTTTCTTTTGAAGTTATATGTGGACGAAAAGTTTGTAAGTTCTAAATTTGCGAAGTTATGTTTGCAGGTATTGTTTACTTTATCTGTTGCCACAGCAGAAAGGTCTGATATGCGGTTTCTTTTGACACCCAACGGAACATGGGGGTATGATTTCTTCTTGCATGTACCATAGCTTCTTTCTGTTGAGCTCACAACACCCAAATTTGTTTTTGATGCTTAATTTGGTATGATGATTGTTTATTATGTGTATAGAATCATTGGTTGTAAAACAGTCTATTTCTCTTTGCATATAGAAAGAGGTTCTATGAGCTCTTACTTGTACATACGTAATTATGTTTTTTCCCTTCTAGTGCAGTGTTGATGGATGTAGTGTTAATTTGCTGACGAGGCAACTGTGATAGTAGTTAATGCCTGAACCTACTATTGGGATTTGTGCTAGTGGCGCAACTCTTTGTATTTGACTTTGTCATTGCCTGTGCTAATTAGAAGAAAACTTGAAGTCTGCTTTATCAACCTCAAATTCAATAAAATACTTGTATCATGAATGTTAGTGGCATTAATTTGCATTTAACTCTCTCCATTTTCATTCTTGAGTCTTGACCATTCCTCTTGTTGCCCAGTTCAAACATATATTACACCTGCAGTAACACTTTGGAATATTATATAAGGCATCATTGTAATTCTTTATGCTGATCAGGCAAACACATGCTGAAGATTATTGTGCAATGTACGACATTTGTGGAGCACGTAGTGATGGGAAAGTACTGAACTGCCCTTTTGGCTCCCCTGCTGTGAAGGTATTAATTGCAGTAAAGGCAAAGATAATGTAATTAGTTAGCAGGACATCTTTGTATGAAGTTTGTCTTGCCAGACTGAAATTCATTCTTTGTTTATAATTCTTTAATGGTTTCACACCATTATATTTATTCTTCTCAATTTTATGCTCATCTATATTATGTTGTAGTTGGATTGTCCCCTGTTTTCTTCAGGTGGACGAGTGAAAGCCTGTGCTGCTTTTGAGTCCTACTAGTTTAGAACATTGGAATTTTGAATGCTGCTAAGGTTGTAATACCTGATGCTATATGTTTTTCGTTGTACTCTCCAGCCAAATGATCTATTGTCATCGAAGATACAAAGTTTATGTCCAACAATCACTGGCAATGTATGTTGTACAGAGACTCAATTTAACACATTGCGTTCACAAGTCCAACAAGTAAGATGTTTCATTGAAATCTATTTTTGAAGTTGTGTCATGTATATTAATATTATGAATGCTGTGCTATATATTGATTTATTTTTCATAATAATGTCTTCACTAATAAGTGAGATGGAAAAAGTTTTGAAGTGGCCCCAAAATGAATTTGTCTATCAAATGTTTCTTGCAACAATGCTTATTTCTAGGTTAAGGTCATCCAATCTACCACTGTTGGTATCTATCCTGTAACAGATATACTGTGTCTTAATCTACATTAGTTTAATACAAGGGTTCACTACCAGCTAGTAGAAGTTTTCCATTGCATGTGCTACGTATAGTTTATCTTTGTTTTTCTTGTCATTCCCCTTCTCTCTCTCTCTCTCTCATATCAGATTACTATTCCAAAAAATAAAAAATAAAAAAAAATTCGATGTCAGATCAATTAATTAGGAAACCCTTTAGAATGTATAATTTTGTTGTCAGCATCTTTTATTTTGAAGTGTATATATATCTTTTTCTTTTCTTTGAAATTTCCCCTAAAATTTTGCTCGATGGTTCTTGTTGGATGTGGGATTATACAACTGAATGGATGATATATAATAACATTAAGACTTAGTTTAGTCCTATTGCTGACATATATAAACCCTTCTTTCTATCAAAGCATCTGGATGGTGCGCTGTATACAATAATAACTGGATGCCTTCAAATTATTCAATGCCCTTTTCTGAAAAAAAGAAAAGCTAAAGAAGAAACAAAAGACTAGAAGAAACTTTGGCTCTAGAAGGCTGGATTGAGTTAGAGAGAGATAAAATTGTATGTCAATGAATACGACCTAGATAGAGAAATGAATTAGCTGATTCTTTTTATGAAATCTATTATAGTTGGGATGACACTTTGTTGAGTTCAGTTGTAAAATAAATACTGATTTAGAGTAATTATATGGAAGCACATGGTATTATTTTGAGGTTGTTATAATATAAATTGAAAACATTTGTGCCATAAGTAGTTGAGCTTCTTCGTTTACTTTGAAGAAGCTAAGAAAGACTCCTATCCTTCTATGTGGGAGCTAGGTTGATCAAAGTTGTTCTCGATAGAAATACAATAGCAAGATGATTTGACTTTTGTATTGCTAGTATATATATATATGTATTTTTGGATGGTTCTTGCCCTCACTTCGCCATTGTTCTCATTTCTTATCATCCTCATATACAAAGATTTCCGCAAATGAGTGAAAAAACTCGAAAAAGAAAGGGTAAATTACGCTTTGCACCCCACGCTTTGCACCTCTCCCATTATGGTCCCTTATTTTTTCAATTGTAATAGTCAACCCGTTACACTATCGATCAATTGGCAATGTGGCCCTTTTGTTAATTTGATGTTACATTTGCTAATGGAAAGTGTCATGTGACCCTCACATATGGCGTTTTTAGGACAAAAAATATAACTTTATTATTATTATTATTATTTTTTTCTCTATTTCTCTTATATATTCTGTTTGGGTGATTCTATTTACACCACAAAAACATCTCCTTGCACTAAATTCCTAATTACACCACACAAAAAATAAAAAAATAAAAAATTATCTTTTTAGACTCATCTTTACACCTTTTACCCTTCAAACCCTAATTCTAGCCCACCCACAAATAAGCACCTTTGACCCCCGCCACCTTCGACCACCAACCCTAGCCCTCCCACACCGCAATGCCCTTCAATCTCCTTCCCACTAGTGATCTCTTCCCCTCACCACTAGCGACCCCTTCAATCACTACAATCCCCCTCTTCTACTGCAACCCTTTCTTGTTCCCTTCCCCCACAACGAAACCGGCTCTCCACCTTTCTCCACCTCCACAGTGAAACCCCTCCCCAGCCCCCTTTTGGCACCATAAAGCCTCTTCTGTAGCCTCCTTTTGCTAACACGAAGCTATTTTCGTAGCTCTCTTTTGCTAACATGGTGTCCTTTTTGTAGCCCCCTTTTACCACCACAAAACCCCTTCCCCCACCACAAAGCCCCTCCCTAATTCCCTCTCCTACTACGAACTCCTTACTTTGTCTACTTCCTTACCGCGATCTCTTTTTCCAACCTCTGCCCCCACTACAACCCCTACCCTAACCTAACCCCCCAACCACCACGGTGGTTGGGCGCTAGGGAAGGGATTGGAATGGGAGAAGAAGGGGGTAGTAGAAGAGCGGAGGGGTTGGGGGTGTCAATGGCTTTCGGCGAAGTGGTTGTGTATTGGTGGAGATGTAGGGAATTGATGTGTAATGAGAAATTAGGATTTTAGATTTTGTGTTTATGTACTTTTTGGTAATTTCAAGTAGGGAAAAATTATAATAATAATAAAAAGAAAAATAAGGATGTAAGGTGGTGATTCTTATTTACACAACAAATTGACTTGTGACACCCAATTTTCATTTTCAAATATACCATACTCGTTACACGCTCAACCTTTCAAAGCCTAACTACCCCACCCCCAACCATCACCTTTGGCAGCCATTACCGCAACCTTTGACCATCAACTCCTAGCCCCTTCTCCACCGGTGACACCATTTCCTAGCCTCCATCCACCCTTCCACCACCACCATCACCCCCTTTCGGTCCCACTCACAACTGTCACCTTTGACCACCGCTACCCCCCTCTGTTGCTGTGATCACTTTTCTAGACCTCCCTTGCTCTGACTCCCTTTCCAGTCCCCCTCTTCCCTACTGCGACTTCCTTTCTAAACCCCTTTCCTCGTCATGATCCTCCTTCCCAGCTCCCCAGATTGCTGTGAACAGATTCTGCAATCTCTCCACATCGTCGCGACCTCCTCATTATCCCTTTACCAAAAGCGTATCCTGCCATGCCCTTCACCGCAAGCTCTCGCGTGAGAGAGAGCGAGGACCTAGGGTTTTTTTAGATCTATGAAGAAGAGGAGGTGGAGGAAGAGGGTGGTGGCGGGGTGAGGCGGAGAGGGGCTAGGGATCGAGCCGACAATAGTGGCCGGTGGCACTGACGATGGAGTTGAGCGACAACTGCAGTGAAAGTGGTGGTGGTCGGAAGAGAGGGTGGTTAAGGGGTGGGTGGGTTGAGAAATTAGGTTAGGGTTTGAGTTTTTTTTGTTTTGTTTTGTTTTTTTGTGTGGTAGTTTTAGATAAGGACAAGATTGTAATAATAAAAAAGAACACGGGGAGGGTAATGAGACAAAGTGTGGTGTAAATAGCATCACCCGTTGTAAGGAGATGTTTTGTGGTATAAATAGAATCACTCTTTCTCTCTGTACTGAAAATGGATGATATTACAAGTCATCCTAACAAATGATTTATGTGAGGGTCGCATGACAATTTATGTTAGTTAATTTAAAACCAAACTAACAGAAGGACCATATTACCACTTGACGAAAGTACAAGGGGCTGACTTTTGCAATTGAAAAATGAGCGACTAAAGTGAGATTAAGTGTAGAGTGCAAGGATGCAAAGTGTAATTTACCCAAGAAAGGAAGAAAGAGCCCAACCTTCATGGCATATACAAGCACTGCATTCTATATTTAAGAAATCATTTTACCACAATGGTCAAACAGTTTAGGTTTTGCATGTCACGACCCAAACCCGCCCCTAAAAGTTTGGCATCGTAACCGGCCAGTAATCCAAGATTACCAAAGGCCTTCCTGTACAAAACATAAATAATCGGGGTTAGCGGAAGCAAAGACAAAATACCATAAGTCCAAAGAGCTGTGCATATATATGAACAAATCGTTACATGCCAAAAATGTTAATTTACCCACTTACATTACATAACATATAACAAAATATCAACCACAAAATATAGGCACGTGTCACAAGTGTACAACAAAAACAAGGCTTGCTAATGGCCTTCCAGGCCTAGCCCCAGCTCGGAAGCACCCAAAACACCTGGTAAGCTTCAAAACGGCGGCTCGGTTCAAGACTCCGCCTAGGCTTGACTCCCAGAACGCTCACCTATAATACATATATATACAAACAATGAGGTATAGCTCAGTGAATAACATTAAAGTAAAGGGGTAGTGAATGAATTCCACATGTAAGGTATTCATAAAATAAATCATTCATAAACATTCATATCAGAACATAACATAATGGTACATCTCACAAGATACAACATATATCGTCTTCCGACTAGAGAATCGGTTCCGGTTACCGATTAACACATATCACCACAATGAAGTGGCTAACGAGATCTCGTATCACATATTTATCATGGACCCGCATTTTCATGCCGTCCCCCATGACTTGGGACTATCCGTGGATGCCAAACTAGATTCACAAATAGGACATTCGCTCACAGAATGAAAATCACATTTCAAAAACATAGCTTAACGTATCACATTTGGAACATAGTTCATATTAACATATCTTTACAGGAATGTTACTCACCGTGGGTTTCCAAAACCGGTTGTGCGGTCTTCGAGGTTTGACCTACAAATACCGACATTATAACACACTTCCTTAACACATATTGCCATCGAATCAATTAGTTAATGCCATTCTATTCTTTTCTTACTTTATTTCATGTTTATGAGATGCTAATGGATGCATATAACCTATGAAGCATGGACACGGCAAAATAGAAGCCGTGGCGATGTCGGAAACGGGGACACGCCGGGGACACGGGGACACGCCAGGGACACGTACGGGACACGGCATCTGGCGTGTCCCCTTAATTTAATCTATTTTTTTGCAGGGGACATGCGTGTCCAGAATCTGGACACGCCATGGACACGGCCAGAAGAGTTAATGAAAGGGAAAACGAGGACAAACCTGGTCGGCGACGATCCAGAGCCCTTCGACTTCGATCGACGATCCAGAGCCCCATTCGACTTCGATCGACGATCCAGCCCCTTCGACTTCGACGAGCTCTCTCTCGCCTTTGCTTTCGCAGAGCGCTCTCTCTCTCTCGCCATCTCTCTCTTGCTCGCGATCGCGATCGTCTCCCTCTCTCTCGCTTCTGATCGCGATCGTCTCGCTTCTGTCTCCTCTCTCTCGGTTCTCTCCCGTCTGTCCTTTTGTCTTGATTCATATATAACATTATAACTATTATATAATAACTATTATTATTATTATTATTATTATTATTATTATTATATATTCATATATAATATATATGACTAATAACTATTATTATTTTATTATATATTATATAATAGTTATTATAAATATACTTATAATATGTATTAATAGTATATAACATAAATATACTTATTAGATAATGGATAAAACATATTACAAGATAATATATATTTATACATATTAATTGACCTACAAATACAAACATTCATAGCACAATTTCTTAACACATATTGCCATCGAATCAATTAGTGGATTCTATTCTATTCTTTTCTTATTTTGTTTCATGTTTATGAGATGCTAATAGATGCGTATAGCATGTGAAAATCAAGTAAATGAAGGCCCGGAAGTCAGAAAATGAGACAAAAACAAAATTGGAAAATGTGTACTGTTTGGCCGCACGTGCGGTGGCTTGGCCGCTCGGTGGCCTAGGCCGCACGAGCGGTGGAACTGCAGTAGCCAAAACACTGTTTGGCCGCTCGAGCGGTGGCCCATCCCGCTCGAGCGGTCTGGGTGAAAAACCAGTCCGAATTTCTGCTCAACCGTGGGTCTTTCTTTTTGCCAAATCAACCTCAAAATCATAAAACTCAAGGGCAAAACACTTGAAAACAACTCAAATTAAACATCATAACTTCCAAATAAAATCCAAATGCATTATATAAAGGATCAAACCTTGACTTGAGATGGAATTTCATAAAACATGCTCATAAACTCAAAATTCATGGAGGTTGCTCACAATTAAAGAACTAAGTGCAAAGGAAATACATATGCACAAGAATTTCATGAACTCATTCCAAGATCTTGAGATAACTTGCTAGATGTCAAGGATCAAACAACCTAATTTCATAACAAATCTTACCTTAGATGGTTAATTGGAGAAAGTTTAGCTTGGTTTCCCCTTTCTATCTTCTTCTTCCCCTTGGTTCCCTTTCTTTCGAACTCTCTCTCCCTTTCTCAGATATTTTCTTCTTTTGTTTTGAGTCAAACAAGGGTCCTTAGCCTTATCTTTAGATATATATATATATATATATTTGTGCCAAAAAGTTGAGCCAAACATGGCTTAGCGAATCAGACGAAAATCAATTTTCAATTAAATTTCCCAAATGGCTCTAAAAATTCCTGGTAACATATAGGCGTGTTCAATTTCGTTTTCCGAACCCATTATGGTCGTCAATTTCAGTCCCGAAGTTGTAGCCTTAACAGATATTTTTCCAATTCAAACAGATAGTCCCCAATTAATTCATATTAGCGCATAATTAATTACGGATAATTGTGACATGCGTTTTGGGTCGTTACATTGCATGATTATGGACGGGAGGAATCCGGCAATGGGACTTTTAGGGTGCTCCGAACCCATTATGGTCGTCAATTTCAGTCCCGAAGTTGTAGCCTTAACAGATATTTTTCCAATTCAAACAGATAGTCCCCAATTAATTCATATTAGCGCATAATTAATTACGGATAATTGTGACATGCGTTTTGGGCCGTTACATTGCATGATTATGGAAGGGAGGAATCCGGCAATGGGACTTTTAGGGTGCACATTTTTAATATTTTTTACAGTGATGTTTGCTTGATGCTTATTATAGTTGTTATTTTATGAGAATCTGTTACTTTTATCATTCACTTTTCTATTATTTCTAGGTTAATTCCTTTGGTGGGCCGAAGGCTAATTTTCTTGTTCAAATTGGGGGCAATGGCTAATAATCTCATTGAACTGGAGTTTTCATTTTTAAATTTTGTTTTCTCATTAATATCTATTTTAAAGAGGAATGGTACACATTGTGTGGTCTTTTTGTGTATCATTAAGTTATCGAATGTCTCACAACAATCCCTGCTGCATTGTGGTTAATGTATTTATTTATTTATTAATTTTTTTTGCAGATTGTTGCCCTATTTGCTAGAATTCTTTGTTTATGCCATATGTATTTGTACTGATGGGTGATACATTTAAGTGTTTCCTTTTTGTTTTAGGCTTCGCTTGGATATATTTTTTCATTTAGTCCTTCATAAGTATTCTACTGCCCTATGATATAAGATCACTTATGCATCTAAATTTATGTTCTTCCTTGCAGGCAATTCCTTTTCTTGTAGGCTGCCCAGCATGCTTGAGAAATTTCTTGAATCTTTTCTGTGAGCTTTCTTGCTCTCCAAATCAGAGCCTGTTTATCAACGTGACTTCTGTGGCCACGGTCAGATTTCTGTGTTTATTGCTTCATGGTGCCATTTTGAATTAGATTTCTATGAAACCCTTGGTTTTCTAGCTTTCCAAGAGTAGCTCAATTTTCAAGGCAATAATTCAACCTGGAAATCCCGAAACATTGAAACCCAAGAAAGGAGGGGAATAACTGAGTTTAGTTGAGAAAACCAAATTAAAATTATTATTTTTAACTCAGTCCTAAAATTTACTACAGAATACTTGCCAAAAAAATAAATAAATTACTGTAGTATGAATCTGTATAGTAAAATAATAGTATGAGCAGTAATGCTACAATGACATGGGCAGCATGTTCCTAACCAAAAAAAAAAAAAAAAATATAACTCTAGAGATTAAAGATTGAAGCTTGGTCTGCAGTAGTTACTCTTTTTTTGGTCCAATTTATGCATTAATAAAATGTTATGTGGCCAATACAATTGTTTTGTGCATGTTTTGGTTTTTGAAATTGATGGATCCAATAATATATCTTCATTAGGGCCTCTGAAATGTGGATGTGATGTGGAGATGAATGTGTTAAGACAATGAAGGGCTAGGTTAGCAATGAATACATTTGTGATGTAGAAATATATCATTAATGGGAGATAATTTGAGAAACCAAGTAAGATCAATATGGTTTCCAGTAATGGAGAGAGTCACATCACTATACACATAAAAGAAAATGCTAAAGAGATGGGAAAGGCCAAAATTAACACTGGCTGAGATAGTATGTGAAGATGTGGTAGCATGTAATTAAACTGAACTTATGGGTCTTCATGGAGCTGAATAGCAAAATAGTTATGCCCAAATTGATTGGAACAAGGCTTCATTGATAGAGTTTAGTGCTTGTAACGATAACTTGTCAACCGTTCCCTTCTCTTAAGAAACATAGAAAGCTTATAGGATACTCCTACATAATTGTTTATTTAGGGGTATGTGAATCTTGTACAAGGATTCTTATTAGTATTTTCTTTCATTTGTATGCATTACTTTCAGGTTAATGGCAATTTGACCGTGGATGGGATTCAGTATTATATAACTGACACTTTCGGTGAAGGGTTATTTGAATCATGCAAGGATGTGAAGTTTGGTACCATGAATTCTCGGGCTATAGAATTTATTGGTGCTGGTGCTAAAAATTTTAAAGGTACTCTCTCTCTCTCTCTCTCTCTCTCTCTCATGCATGTATGTGCATCCACACGTGCACATGCACAAGCTAACAGTCACATACACTCACACACAAGGAGTAGCAGAATAGAAAGGTGTATGGAATTAGTTCCCAAAAGAGAAGTGGCCAAAATCAAATGATGATTGGAATGACAAACTAGATATTTACATAGAAAGAGGACATAGAGTTCCTTCGATAAGGGTCAATGCCCATTCTTGATAGTTTTAATAGCTTGCTCCACACCAACATTGTGGAATCCAGGAAGGGTTTTAAGCACTTAGCAACTTTATTTGATTCATAGCTTGCGGAACCCAAAACTTAACCAGTGATCATGACCATATCGTTATTGGTTATTATACATATATGGATAATGGAATTATTAAGCATGTTGGATTTTCATGCTTTTTGTTCTCAACTCTATGTTGGATTTTTAACCTTTTTTTTCTCAACTCTTGTTGAATTTACTTACTGGTAGAGTTCATTGAAGCTAGGAACAACACTTTTATTGGAAAATCTACTCCTAGATTTCTACATGAGGTGGCCTGATTTTTACAGCTTTTCATTTGTTATTCCATGCCCACATAAGATGAGTCCAAATCCTCTCCTTGGAGGATCTCTACTTGGCTCTCTACTTGGTGGGCCATTGGGCCCACTTTTGGGCCCAATTTTGATGATCTGAACCGTTTATATTTTAAGATCTGTCGAGTATATCATACCTGTAAAAAATCAAGTCGATCGGATATCGGAAACAACATGTTCGGATCATCGAACTAAAAACCGTTATATTAAAAAATAAAACAGTTTATTAAATTTTTTTAATAAACAATTTTTAGTTTGATGATCCGAGCACATGGTTTCCGATATCCGATCGACTTGATTTTTTACAGGCATGATATACTCGACAAATCTTAAAATGTGACCGGTTCGGATCATTGAAATTTGGCCCAATGGCCCACCAAGTAGAGATCCTCCAAGGAGAGGATCTGGACTCGCATAAGATGCCTAATAATGGAGGGTTGATCAATTTTCTATTTCTTTCAGAAATTGTTAGTGATGTTCTGTGGGCAGTGTTACAAAGTGGGATAATCTTTTTGATAAGAAAATAATGTAGCAACTAACCTAAAGTGGGCTCTGCTTTCATATGAGTTAAAGTTGATTTCAGTTTAGTTGTAATTAATTTAGTCTGCACCTTAAATTGGCTGTATATGGAATTTATCTATCAGGAGCCTAATTTACTTGTAGTTAGCTTAATCGATATTGAACTTAAATAGGTTGTTTAGAGAATTTTTTCTGCCATGGTTGTTAGATAGCTTGATATACATTCTCGGACCCATTTCCTAACAGCTTAAGCTTTTTGGGAAAATTAGTGACTCAACATGGCATCAGAGCTCAGGTTGATGAGAGGTCTTGAGTTCAAGTCTTTCCTTTGGCATTTCATATTCTATCCCCGTTTGGTTTCTTCTTTTTTGTTTGGTTATTCGCTTCTTTTGTTTCGTTCTCTTTTTGTTTCTCCACGTGCAAGACAAGGTTGCAGGTGAGGGAGAATGTTAGATAGCTTGATGTACATTTTTGGACCCATTTCCTAACAACTTAGGCCATGTTTGATACCACTGGATCCAATTTCTAGCTACACCACTTTAGCAACTATCACAATGCATTCTGCAAAGACCAAGTTCCTATTGCACGTATCTAAAACTTGTACTTGCACCAGATACACCACCTCTATGACATACATGTTGCATCCCTCTCTCCCTCTCCCCCAAAGCATGTATGCATATTCACACTTACTATCACCTAGAGGTGACATTACGAGTGTGAGCAGTGACCAACAAGATTAATAATGCAAAATCTGAATGCAATATTGTTTTTTTTTTTGTTTGTTTTGGAAGAAGGGGGGGGCTTGATATTGAGAGACATAGCTTGCTTTAATTTTGATTTATAGGAATAATGATTGGGACCAAAGCTTGTTAGGTTGAATTGAGTTATGTGAATGACTGAATAATCCAATTCAGTTCCTACTGGAGGAATTTGTACCAGAAAGAAAACTTAAAAGATTGGCTATGGAGCAAAATGTAAGCATGATAAATTTTTTATTGGAGGATTCTTTAAATTGCAATTACTTGTAGATTTTGATCTTTCCTTTTGTTCAAGAGAAATGGAGAATGTTAGTATGACACTGTTTACGAGGTTCATGAGGGCATAATGTATTTTTCTAGTAAATTCTTGTGGCAAATGATGAAAATTTTTGTGGTTTAAATATTTAAGAATCCACAAATGTAGCCAGTTAAAAAATTGTTTGTTTCATATTTTTTCCATTTAAATGTTTTAGATATTTCTATCAAACACTTTGCTTTTGTATGGCTTACATGTTAGTTTTTAATTTGAGATATGGTTCAATTTCTTTGTTTTGTTGATTATTTTAAAATCTTTTGAGTAAAATTTGTCATTTTAAATTAATTTGTTGTTCATATAAAGGTTTCATAAAAGGACTATGATCACCTTTGCTTCTTAAGTTACTAAACACTTTTTGTTGATGAAACTGTAGTTCTTACATCAATTTTGATTTTTTTGGGCAGAATGGTTTGCTTTTGTTGGTAGAAAAGTAGGCCTTACCGTGCCAGGTTCACCATATTTAATTGATTTCCAGCCAACTGCTCCTGAGTCATCTGGAATGAGACTTATGAACGTGACTACTTATTCGTGTGGTGATACTTCACTTGGCTGTTCTTGTGGTGATTGCCCTGCAGCTCCTGTTTGCTCTAATTCAGCTCCTCCTTCCTCTGTAAAAAAAGGCTCCTGTTCAGTGAGAATTGGGTCTCTTAAGGTGAGAGAGAACTCAATATGGAATGGCTCCAATTTACAACCTGTCTATGAAATAATTGTTTGTATGGAATGTGGATGTATTAGGCCATTAATGTGCTATTTAATTTACAATCTTAATCACTAAAAATGGTATCATGCAAGGCATAAATTTTAAATTCTAATACCATTTTCTGTTTTGGTTTTACTATCTATGACTGCAGGCAAAATGTATTGACTTTGCTGTTGCGATTGTGTACATTATATTGGTTTCTGTGTTTCTCGGATGGGGTTTTTTTCATCGAAAAGTGGAGAGGAGCCCAGCTTATAGAACTAGACATGTATTGAATGTTGCAAATAATCGTGAAAAATACTCTGCCAACCAGCAAAAAGATGAGAATCCTTCCATACAGGTGAATGTCAGTCTCTACATGTGACCTATGATTTGTTTTGTTTACTTGGCTTGCCTTTTCTCATTTCATCATTTGATGCACTTATGCCCCCTGTCTTGTAGTTATGAATTTCCCTGCATGCAAAACATAATGCATTAGTGGGGCTGTTGATGCAGGGAAGCATGTATGGAATGAACGCTCACAACAAACAAAACCAACCATGAACAAAATAAACAAGAGATGCTCTTTTAGAATTTTTATTATTCGTATTCAAAAGTTGATTTGCTTTGATGCATACATAGGTATTTATACTAAACTAACACTTGCAGAGCAAGCTAGGAAATAACCAACTTGGCAATTGTTGCTAATCAAGAATGCCCAAAAAGGAAAATATTCATTTTTGCTATTCAAGAAAAATAAATAAGGGAAAATGTTATTCTTGTTCATCAGGGAAAATTTAATAGCTTTGTTAAGAAAATTTGACTGACTGAATTTTTGTCAATCCAGTTTTGTTAAGAAAATTTCAGCCAGTTGTTCTGAATCAGATGGAAATTGATCTAATTCCCAGCCTTGTCCTGATAGCTGGGGGATGGATAACTTTAGCCTGCTTCAGGGGAGGAAAGTTTTCCCCCAGCTAGGTGCTACCTTTTTTTAACGACCATTCTTCATCATTGTATTGTTTCTTGAGGAATGATTTCTAACATTGAGATAGTCTTTGCCTATTTTCCTAGTCATAGAAATAGCTTGAAAATCTTGTATTAGGTATCTTTGCCTTGTTTTGGTTGCTTTGAATAACATTAATGGTAAACAACTGTAATTTTTTTTTTTTTGTGTGTGTGTGTGTGTGTGGTTGCTTTTGATTAGCATTAGAGGTCTCTAAGTGGTGCACTGGGGAGGAGATGTGAATAATAATTAGACATTACATGTTGGGTCACAGATGCCCCAAAAGCTTAAGCTGTTAGAGAATGAACGCATCAATGTATATTAACCTCTCACAACCTCATTCACGTGTGAATGTGACTCTCCTCTTGCATGTGGAGACTGGTAAGCCCATAAACTGCACTGAACAAGGTGCATTAATACATACTCAACAAAATATACAAGAACAAACATAATGGAAGGACAAACAAATACCATGAGACTTGAAACTAGGACCTCCTGGAACAAAGGCTAATACCATGTTTGGTGACAAGTAACCCCAAAACTTTGCCCAACAATGTATATTCAACTCTCGTTGTGGACAAAAAGGGAAGTCCAAAAAAGAGGGGAAAAAAAAAGGATAGACATTTGGAGAAGCTGATGACTAGACAGAAAGAAGTGCATAGTAGATAAAACATAAGAGGTTAAAATTTTGCTTTAAGATTCCTGACTAAATTGACAGACATACGTTCAACATAAAGGAGTTTTTTCTTCTTCTTCCTGAGTTTGTTGCTATAGCACTAGAAGTATATTCTGCATGTGGTTTTGGCGTTGAATTGTTAAGGTCATACTTGAATATTCAACAATGCACCGACAATTAGGGATGTAATCAGTTCGGTACGGTCGGCATTTAGGTAAAATTTTCCACTAAACTAATAATATTGGTTTTATTATTTTGAGCACCAATACAAACTGCTTATCTCATTAAACCACGCCAATTGAAACGGTTTGGTTCGGTACGGTTTAATCAATCTAGGACCTCTCAAATTTGAGCAACCTTTTAGTATAATCACTAATCTATGTAAAAACATTGAATTAGCCATCTGTCCACCACTTCAAACATGTCCAATCCATCCATTTAATAAATACTTTTCAATTCCTAGATTAACAAAAATACAAACAAAAAAATTTAATAAATACTAAGGGTGTGTTTGGTTTGTGTTTTGAGATAAATTTTAAAAAAAAAAAATTTAGGGGGAATTGAGTAGATTTGTGTGAGAGAAAAAGTTTTGGAGTTTGGAAGTTTGGGAGTTTGGGATTATTTGATATTTTGTTGTAATTGAGTAGATTTGTGTGAGAGAAAAAGTAATTGAGAAGGAGAGAGGAGAGAGAAAAAGTGATTGATTGATGTGTCATAGAGAGAGAAGTAATTTTAGGATTTTTTTGAGAAAATTTGTAACCAAACTTGTTTTTGGAAATTTCTTCCAAAAACATATTTCAAAATGCAAACCAAACACACTCTAAGGCTTCGAGAATAGTAAGTTAGAGTTAAGATTATATATAATAAGGGTTTACTAACTTAAGTTATAGGGATGATAAGGTTAATTAATTGAGATTAGTAATTTATTATACTTATCAATATCATTATATTATTAGATTATATATGTTATAAATATACTATATGTTGAAGCGGCCGGTTTTGGTTTAGTTCAGTGCACAAGGTGTTTGAATTGGTATCGAACCAAAAAAAATCAAATTAAAAAACGCATAGACCAATTCTTGTTAAAAGGCAGATCAAATATGTCTGGTTCAATCGGTTTGGTTGGTATTTTGGGCTTTTCTTACATCCTACTGAAAATTGCAAAAAAAAAAAAAACAACAAATGGTTCATTGGTGGGGTCCTTCTTTTTGGACTATCTGCAACTTTTATGTTTTTTTTCCTCCTTTTACTCTCTTTAGATTTAATGTCTATTCATGACTGTTGAGTTAAATTTATTGCGATTTTTCCTGATGAGATTCCCATATCAAGTCTATTTTATTGTTAATTTTTAGATGCTTGAGGATGTTTCTCAAACTACAAAAGGGGTTCAACTTTCGGTTGTGCAAGGATACATGTCAAAATTCTACAGGTCACCTCCTATGCCACTAATGCTTATATCAACTTATAGGGAATGGTTTTTGATTTTGTGGGCACATATCTATGTTCAGGAGATATGGAACAATGGTTGCTAGAAATCCAGTCCTTGTGCTATGTTCGTCGTTGGCTGTTGTTCTCTTGCTTTGTCTAGGCTTAATCCGTTTTAAAGTGGAGACACGGCCTGAAAAGGTATGATATGTTATCTAGATTGCTTTTCGCATAGTAAATCAATATATTCTCTTTAGTTTTGCAATCAGTGCCTTTTCCATAAATTCCTGTTGTGTGTGCTCATTATTGTCCTTGGGTCTATGGGTTTGCTTATATGGATGCCTAGCTTTGACAACTGACTATGGTAGCTCTTTTTGTATTAGATGCTTGATACATGCCTGCTAATGTATACTTACTAGAATGCTTTTTCCCCAAACTTTGCAAAATTTCTTTGTTATATGAGAACCCCAAAAGTTTGAGTTTGATGTAATGGTACTAGCAATGTATATCAGTTATCAACCTTTCACATCGTCCCACACATGCAACCACCTTTTGCATGTGGAGCTCGACCCATAAAAATGTAGTGAAAGTGAAAATAGAGAGTTGAAGTAGTAAACAAATGATAACATGGAGACTTGAACAAAAGACCTTGCAGGATCAAAGCTGTAATACTATGCTTACAATCGATTGTTCTAAAAGCTTAAGTTGATAGGGCAGTTGTAGCTTAAGTAGCTATATTATCAGTAGCTAGAATAAAGTGGAAAAGGACATTCATGACATATGGTCTGAATCATATTTGGTTTTGTAGATAAATATCTAAGGTTGCTTAAACTATGGTTAGTTAGCACAAACCAACCAACCAGCATGAAGGACTGATTTCATCAAGTGAAAGGTGCTAAAAAGACTAGATTAAGTAAAAAATGACATGGGTTAAGAACATGAGAAACTACTCTTGTTGAGTGAGTCGAGTTGAGTTGGTAGTAGAAGTACAAAACTCAAGGTTTGCGAAACCCATGATAGCAGCAGCCTTACCTTTTATGTGTATATTGTCTAAAAGTTGTTCAGTAATTGATTGCTAGCTACTCTTATAATTTCAAGAAAGTTATTACAAGTTTTTGGACGCTAAACATGACGGTTTGCATCCTTATTGAGGTGCAACAAGAGTCTCCTTGTCTAATGATCATAACTTTGTCATGCTTCACACTTATTTAGAATATTGTATATTTGGAATTAATAGTAAAACTAGAGGAGTCTCAGAATTGGATGCTGGATGAGAACAAGGTTGATTTTTTTAAAAGCTCAATGTTATGTAAATGTAACACATAAACAAGGCTTCTAGGTTTTTTTATGGTGTCTTATGTTTATCACAATATTGTTACTTGGGTGATATTTACAAAATATTGGTCGAGTTTTGACATCTATACCATTTCAGCTATGGGTGGGACCTGGGAGTAAAGCTGCAGAAGAGAAACTGTTTTTTGACAGCCATCTAGCCCCTTTCTACAGAATTGAGCAGGTTCTGCATCTTTTTACTTCTTTGTTTGTTTGTTAATTATATGTTTTATCCTACTGCCTTTCAATTGATTTTACTTGCCACCATCAGATTTTTTGGAAACTTTTCTTGTTAGCTTTACATACTATCTTTGAAGCTGCTTGTCATTTTTGTGCACAAGAACACTACAGAAAACAAAAATTCATTTTTTGTTTCTCTTAAATAATCTCTAAGAGAGGAATACATAATATTTTGTGTAGTACAATTATGTTAAAACTGTTGTAGTACACTTACATTTTTTAAGCATGCTTTTCAAGTTCATGCTGGACTTCTGCTAAAATGCTTTTCAATTTACTTTTTGAGGATAGATTTTGAGCCAATCAATAATAGATGCTATATTCTATAGAGTTCGACTGAGTTGACTTGCCAAGGGATAATATTTCATGGAATAACTTTTATCTATTCATATATACACTATAAAGTTGGAGAACATAATCAACTCCTCTTTTTCTTTGAATCTTGTGATTGCTGATATGGTTAAGAGCAACTATTACTTATCCAAATTTAGTTAGTTTGTTTATTGATATATGTCATTATTTTATAACAAGATATATGGAATAACTGATTTGCTAGCCCTAGCTTCGTATGCTGGAGATGCAATTATTGGGACATGCACTCCGCATGTTTTGTATCACCTTTAAATTAAGCACCATCTTAAATTGTAGTTATTTGGTCTGTGTGAGACATGGCTTTACTCACTAATCCCCAGGAATGTGCAGTTTATCTATTAATTAACGTGGAGTTGATGTTTGATCAGCACAACCATAACATAGTTTTCATATCCAGAACCTGAATGGACTTGTATTAAATGAAATGGAATCTAGAAAGCTAGTGCTCCTAGCTTTTCATTTGACCCTATCTACTTAATTTTTTGATCTTTAGAATGTCATCTTTACTACATTAGGATTAACAGAGGCAAAGCATTGTGTGAAGGTTAATTTGTTTTCACTTTTCAATTAAGCTTTCAAAGTGCAAGGATCAAGCCTGCAAGTTGTGCTCCTTTTGATTGTTTCAAACATCATATAAGAGATGAACCAAGCCTAGAACTGCATATATTTGTTGATTGAGTTCTTGTGTTTCCAATTTGACCATTAAATTCCAATTCATTAGAAAACATATTCTCTTTCCGTCTTTTGAGTTTGGTGTAGTTTATAGCCTATCTTTCCATATAACCTCTTTAAGTGGATATCTTGGGGGATATTCTAGTTACATACTGATGCTAGAAACATATTTTGTGGATTTGAATAGTATTTGGATTTTGATTTTGACGGAATTTAAACTCAGTTCCTATAATTAAATGTCTCCCATCTCGTTTGATATGTGGTAAGATTTAATAAAATCCAATTACTACTTTACTGGATTTGAAATGGTTTATTCATTTAAGACGTTCCATTCGTTGCTCCTTTTTTCCTCCCTTCCCCCTGTTATGTGGATAGGCCATCTTGCTTTAATATTGCAAGAGATTGACTACTCCTCACATGTTTTGCAGCTCATGTTAGCAACAATTCCAGATGCAATGCATGGCAAGTCACCAAGCATTGTGACGGAGAACAATATCAATTTGCTTTTCGAAATACAAAAGAAGGTATTTGTTTTGCTGTGCTACTCTTGAGCAGTAAAATTGATATGTAACTTTGATTGAAGTTGAGGCTTTCAATAGATATTTGACTACTGCTGCTATTATGTCCTTCGTTATTGTTCAATAGTTGAACAAATGTAGTTAAGGATATTTCTTTATTTTTTATGCTTGCTTATTCTGTTTTGAAGGTGGATGGAATTCAAGCAAATTATTCAGGCTCATTGGTATCTCTGAGTGATATTTGTTTGAAGCCACTAGGCCAAGATTGTGCCACTCAGAGTGTTTTACAGGTACCGTCTTGTCTGGATCTCAAGCATATTATTTTTATATGGATTACTTTCTTGTGATTGGTACAAAGCTCTACAAAAATCTCATAAGTTTTTACACAGACCAAACAAAAAATGTACTGGAACAATATGAATTTGCCTTTTCCCACTAACTGTAGAAATGATGTAAATGGCATGCAACTTGATCTATAAATTGATCCTCCCAAGTTCAAGTCATACACTTGAGGCCATCCCATGGATTTATCTTGGAAATTACTTGGTCCATGTAGAGGTTGTGACTTGGTAAGATGGCAAGTGCTACTGACACCAACGTTGCGTTGCGAGTTTGGGCCGTAAGGCTGCCTACGTACTTCTCCCATTCTCCCAAATCCCTGCTACAAGTGGGAGACTTGTGCACTTGGCACATGCTCTGAGGCTCCTTGGGTGCTCTAAATGGCCCGGACACCTTGTTAGAAGGAGGAGGAAAAAAAAAAAAAAAAAAGATTCTTCAATGTCGACTGTGATAGCAATTGACTTCCCAGAGTTTTGTGCCCACTTTAAGGCTCATTTTTCACTGATCTTTAGTATAGCAGACCAATTGCCTCTAAATTAGTTTCTTTCTCCTTGAATACATGGTTCACTTTAGTTTATTTTTCATTTATTGGAAAGTGAAGGTGAAGGTTTACTGGAGTGGTTTAAAGGATGGATTTAAAAATCTCATTTTACCTGGAAGTGGCTTCAAAGACTACAATAATGGAGCAAGGATCTTGTTTTCTCACTGACCAGATTGTAGGGACAAAACACCAATGATAGACTTAAGATTATCTTCTCTTTTCTCTATGATTGTATGATCTAGTACTTCTCATCACCTTTTATACACCCTATTTGTATTCTTAGATTCTGTTTACAAGCTTGATCATTTCCCTAGCCTTTATGTTGTGATTTGTTGTTTTAGCATATAGTAAATGGTATCATCAACTAATTAGGAGTACCGTAGTTATTTGTCTGGGGTTTGTATACTAGTTGTCCTCATGCACTGGAAACTTAAATGTGAATACCACCAAGGCATGCCACTGACGCATATTTTTTGATGCTTTGTTTCTAAGCCAACTTTTTTTTGTTCTTTCTTCTTACTTTTCTGTTGCTCATGTTGATGTGTTGATGTTAATGAGTTATGCTACGAGTAGATTGCCTTTTTTATTATTATTTAAAATTCTAATGGAACCTAAATTTCCGTTTGCATCATTGTTGGACTGATGTGCATTACTGAGAGTTGTGCCTCTGTACTTTTAAGATTGTTATAGAAAATTGTCATATTTACAGCCATTTATTGAAACTTGGATGTAGTTCATATTATTTCACCATCCATGTTGTGTTGACACAGCTTATTTTTCTGTGATAGTATTTCAAAATGGATCCTACAAATTATGATGGCTATGGGGGTGTTCAACATGTTGAGTATTGTTTTCAGGTACATTCTAATGATCCCTATCTCTATGTTGTAAGCTTGAGATCCTTAACCTTTTTTGTTTTTCATTTGCCTTTACCATTTGGGCCTTTTTTGGGGGTGGGGTGGGATATGCATCTCTAAGCATAACAACATAAATATGTTTCCTGTGCTATGAAGGACATTTTTCAAAATAAAACCAAAAGAGACCATTATAATGAATTTAACATGCGAAGTTTTGTTTGTTTGTTTGTTTTAAGTTTTAATTTGGATCGAGTTATGGGCATAGGAGACTCGAAGCCTGGTATTCATCTTAACCTTCAGCTTGTGTCTCATGTCAGGAGCCTATTCCATATACAGTGAATATAAGCTTAAAATGTCGAAATCTGAATTAGAAAAGGAAAAAATAAAATGGGGAGATCGAAATCAGTGAAGTTTCATTCACACGGTGTCAATAGTTTTCACATGCATCTATCAAGGAGAAAAAAACAAAAATGTAACTACATCTAAATTACTGAGGCTTTTTAATTCTGCTGCTGCTGTTGAATTTTCCAGTTCAAAAACTGTGTTGGCATACAAATGTCTCTTGAAATTTTGATCAAATGGATATATAAAACTTTTAAGATAACTAATTTATCTTATTGAATAGTTATTTTTTGTTCCGGTGGACAGTACTATATCAAAATTTGATTCCTTTGCCATTACAAGATTTGTACACTCATTGGTTGTCCATTAGAAGGATTTTTTTTTTTTGGAAGAGGGGAGGGTGAAAATGAAAAATCTTTTTTGGGAATGAAATTTGTCTTGGGGCGCACCTATATAATTTATTATGGAGTATCTTGTGTGAAAGAGGAAGCATTGAAAATTTCTTGGTCCGTAATAATGAGTAGCCTTGTGTCTGTATTTTACAATGTAGTTTTATTTTTAATCAATATGATGATTATTATATATTATTTGCAATAAACTAACTGCTTATTGATGATGTTACCCTGCATGCTTCTTTAAGCATTATACTACGGCAGACACATGTCTAAGTGCATTTAAAGCCCCTCTTGATCCAAGCACTGCATTAGGAGGTTTCTCTGGGAATAACTATTCTGAGGTAAGTTGCTGACCACTTGTAAAGTGAAGATGTAATTAAGGTGCACAGTAACACAATATTGATGTTCCATGGCAGGCTTCTGCATTTATTATAACGTATCCTGTGAACAATGCTATTGATAAAGAAGGCAATGAAAGTAAGAGAGCAGTTGCTTGGGAAAAGGCATTTATTCAATTAGTGAAGGTTTGCATTTTGTACTAGTGGTTTTTTTTCCCCCCCCCTCAACGATAGCTGATTATTTTTTCCCTTGTTCTTGAATTAGAGAATTTATGGAGTTTTATAATCTGATGTCACTTTATTTTCCTGTTACAGTGCTAATTAGTGGGGTACGTTTTCAGTGGTGGAATGAATTTTTGGAAAATTTAGTAAGAACTGAGATAGAGTTGGACTTGTTTGTGGTTAAGTAACAAGAAAAAAAGATGTGATTTTACTGCTGAGGATTGCGTTTTAGAATGATGCCAATCAAACAACAGGAGTTGTGTGCAACTATTGACCTAGGAAGGTGTTCAAAAATGGCTTATCAGGGAAAAAAAAGTGGACAAATGGCCATACTCTCATTTTATATCATGTTTTTACATTTGTTCAAGTATGAGAACATGGATTGGATAAGGATCAGAAATGTTTGTTTCACTAGAAATGCTGTTCTTGTTAGGGTGATCATAGCCAATTCTGCAATTCTTCTCTAGATATCCCAACTACTTATCGCTTTTAAAAAAATGAGGTTTGGTGGTTTGGAGGGGACGTGGTTGTCTAATTGCTTATGAATTAACAGAAAGATCTGGCCCTGGCCCTAGTTACCACAAATATCCAATTGAGTTAGGTGCCCTAATTAGTCGGTAAATTCTTCACGTCCTCATATTATTTTTCTGGAAGCTAGATATATTTTGAAGGCACTTGATTTACCTACTTAAAATTGTATGATGATGTGGCTTAATGTTGTTTTCTCCTTGATTTTACGTATTCCTCGCCTCCCCAAAGCATGCAACAACATTCGTTTCTATGAATGCTTGTACTACAGACTTTGACACAGTTTTTTTTTGCAGGATGAACTCTTGCCAATGGTGCAGTCTAAAAATTTAACAATTTCCTTCTCATCAGAAAGCTCCATTGAGGAAGAATTAAAAAGAGAAAGTACTGCGGATGTTATAACTATTTCAGTGAGACATTGCAAACTTTCAGCCTCATCTCCTTTTTAACAGCAAAATATTGTTTTCTTCTTCCCTTTTTTTTTTTGGATAAATAAAATTTTATAAAGAAACTAAAGCATCAAGGAGATGCATAAGAATACAAAGTGACACCCCCAGGATAAGAGCACCACGCACAAAGACAAACAAGAAACAAAAACAAAACTAAACCACTCAACCAAACACATCGTCAAAAAAATCTAAAAAGGTAAACAAATCTGGACCCACCCACCACCCAGACACCCAACCACACAAAACATGGAGAAGCCGTGTTTCCAACCAAGACACCGAACGGACAACCTCCTGGAAAATACGACGATTCCTCTCTAGCCAAATGAGCCACATCAAACATAGAGGAGCCCACGCCCAAGCCTTCCAATGCCTCTTCTCCACTCGACCCTCTGCCCAACTCCACAAGACCCCCAACACCTCCTCTTGTTGCTCCCACTGCACCCCAAAAGTAGAAAAAATAAGATCGCACAAGCAAGAAGCTGCCGGACATTGAACAAGCAAATGGTCCACTGAATTTGCAGCCTCACAACACATAAAGCACCAGTTAACCAGAACATGCCCCGACGAACCAAATTATCAATCGTCAGAATACTATCATAAGCCGCTGTTGAAGGAACACCTATGACCGAAATCTGACGCCAAGGAAACTCCCCCTCCACAGCACCCCACAATCCCTGATAAAATGAAGAAACCAAGAAAACACCCTTCGAACTTGGCCCTCACCAAACCAAGACCTCTTGATTATGCAATTTTGGTAGGTTATTGCAATTTTATTTAAATAAGTGAAATTTGTGATTGCTTGTTCATTTTCTTTTGCTACCCTATCTTGTTTCAGATAAGCTATCTTGTGATGTTTGCTTATATATCTTTGACTTTGGGCGACACACCAAGTTTCACTTCATTTTATATATCATCTAAGGTATGGTGCCTTCCATTCATGTTTTAACTCTCTTTATTGTATATATTTTCAATCTTTATATGTCTTGGGTAACGTTTGATTTGTTTGTTTTTTTTCTTATTGATAGTTGTATGCCATTTACGTAGTAGCCTCTTTTACCTCTTTCAAAACGTGAAAATGAGGACTAAACATAATTAGGAGTGGATTCTTGATTTTTCAAGTATCCACCTTGATCTTAGCATGAAATTGATATGGATGCTTTGGAGTCACTATATATCTTTTGGTAGTGTCTGTGTCTTTGTCAAGGGTCTGAAACTTAAAAAATTTGGGCTCAGTTTTCTTCTGCTCCGCTATTGGGCAATGGGATGATTTTTGGGATGTAGTAAATTAATGAACACTTCTAATTTTGCCTCGCACATCCTTGCGTTGCTTCTTAAAAAAAGTACTCTCACTGACATCATGTACTCCACAGGATCTCCTTCATTTTATGCTTGGTTTATCTTTAAGCTTCCCTTTTACTACTTTGGAACACATTATTTGTATTTAGGAATGCTAGGTTTTCACTTTAAAAAAAAATTAACCTTATCTTCTTTTATTTAGTTTAAATCATTTGACTGGTTGGCTTCCAGGTATTGCTTGGTCTTTCAGGAGTTATGCTTGTCATGCTCTCTGTTCTTGGATCGGTTGGGATTTTCAGTGCATTTGGAATAAAATCTACACTTATAATTATGGAAGTCATCCCTTTTCTTGTTTTGGCTGTAAGTTCCACTTGTTTAAAAAATCCTTGTAGCTTTAATATGATTTCTATATTATTGTGGACTGAGGTTTTTTCTCAGTCCTGTCTTGAGTTATATGGCTACTGTCAAAGTAGGCATAACACCCCTAGAAGTTGAATTCTCCAAAATAGTGTTATTATACAGAATATTCTTCTGCTGTTAGTAATTTTATGTCTTATCTTAATCACATACCCTAGAGGTCACCACGCAGGGCGTCCAAATTGTCATAGTTTGAACATTCATTTTCGGAATATTGAAAGAAGTTTGGAAACATGTTGAAAGGTAAATGCAAAGTTAAACCTCAAATATTGAGTTCATTGGCCTGTACCTTTTACACATATAAGCTACAAACTAGAAATCGGAGAGCCTTTTTCGTTGTGTGTGGAAATATTGCCCGCAGGATTATGGATTTATTTATGCAAAATGTGTTTAGGATAAATAGAAGTATTAGATTCCTGTACAAGTATATATTCATATAGGGTATGTCTCTAACCTAAACTATTTTTTTTCTGCTGTTATAGAAAGCTCTCTCCATAACATGAATATAAAATCCATTATCTATGACCCATCTCAGTAATCATAAAATGAGGCACTGGGAGAGGTATTGATGGGGCAACCTAGCTTTTGGCTGTTATATGCATAAATACGGCTATTGTCAAAGCTGAATACACATTCTCATGTTTGTAACTGGGTCTGGATTATGTACTCTAGTGGAAACCTACATAAATAGTTGATGAATAATGTGTGTCGTAATAACAAATAACCCACAAATCTAGGTGACCTATCATTTATGGGGTGATGTCCTTCAAGTATAATTTTTTGCTACTACTTGTAAAACAAGCAATAGGTGAAGAAACCCAGTCTTAGATATGAAATGTTGACACAACAGGCAGTGGGTTTTTAATTTTTTTTTTTGGATAACCGGGTGTCCGGGCCAGCTTACGCGTACCTTTGAGTGATACAAGTCCAACACATGATGATGTGTGAAAGGAGCAGTGAATTGAGGCATTATACCAAGAGCAATGCCATGAGAGGTAGACTAATTACAATCTTGTGATGACACAATTAGATCATGGGAGAGCGGACAAGGCTTGTGGCTTGGTGGGTGAAGTTGGGGACATTTGGAAGAACTTAATATTTGAATAAATCTCCAGACCAATGCAACATTGGGGTGCTCCAATGTTTCTGTTACTGAAAAAAATGCATTAAGACTTGGCAATATGGTTTGTTAGCAAAGTTGGCACTGTTTTCTTATGGTAGCTAAGTAAAAATAATATTTCAAAGAAAAACATTGTGGAGGATATAATGAGCCTTTGCTACACTGAGTTGCATCATTTGGAAAGTTCAACTATGAGGAGGAACTCAACATTTTCATATATTCTAATGCTTTTTCTGAGATAGTTGCTTCAATCTTATTTGGTTTCCAAATGTTAATTAGCTTTTAAAATGCCTTACATGTTCTATTGCAAGGACCGTCACAGAATATGTTACTTTAATTGCAAGCTTTGTTGGGAAATATTAGTTTTTTTTTTTCTTGACAAAATATTTCTTGATAATTCTTTCCTTAGTTTCCATGTTAGCTCAGTGTCCATTGAACTCTTTTTGTTTTTACATCAGGTTGGGGTGGATAACATGTGTATACTGGTACATGCTGTTAAGCGGCAGCCATTGGAGTTGCCTTTAGAAGGCCGAATAAGTAATGCACTTGTAGAAGTTGGACCATCCATAACCCTTGCTAGCCTCTCAGAGGTTTTAGCATTTGCAGTTGGAAGTTTTATTCCTATGCCGGCATGCCGTGTGTTTTCTATGTTTGCAGGTCAGAAAAGTACTCCCTATCTTAATTAATGACATTGAAAAAGTAGCAGAACTAGTAGTAGCACTGTAACTGCAGTGGTTGTCATCATTATTCTTGTCCTTGTTAGTTATATGTTTATTGTAGGCTTATCAGTTGACTTCCATAACCGCATTATTTTGCAGCATTGGCAGTTCTCTTGGACTTCCTTCTGCAAATTACTGCTTTTGTTGCCTTGATTGTTTTTGATTTTATGAGAGCTGAGGAGAAGAGGATTGATTGTTTTCCTTGCATTAAAATTTCTGGATCATATACAGATCCAAATGAAGGTACAACTAAGATTTCTCGCACGTCTGCAAATTTTTATTTTTCACTGCCATTATCGTTTTTGTTTAGTAATCCAAGCATGGACACTGGTTGAAGAAAATTATTACATGACTATGTAGGCATTGGTCAGAGAAAACCTGGATTACTGACTCGATATATGAAGGTAATAACACGCGGTTCTGGTTTTTTTTTTTTGGCTTTGTTTTTTGTTTTGTTTTGTTTTGTTTTGTGGTTTTTCTTAAGTTGGCCAACTACATTATACAACTACATAAAGCTATTATGGATTCTCTGCAGTAATTCAGAAAATATATGGTCATTTTGGTACAGCTGGAACTGTCCAACTATTTTTTTGTACCTTATATACACATACACATATACATATATATATATATGTATGTATGTATATTTGATTTACTGTGCGGTACCTCAGGGCCTCAGATGGTAAATCCATGGGCATAAATAGTAACACAAACAGTGCAAGGTAATGTTGCTCGTATATGACCAGCATATAGAATGATTGTAAGTAATACTTTTTGTTTTTGTAAAATGTAGTGACTAAAAGCGAATTATTGATGTGTAATAAGGGAATTTCTGGTTACACACCAAAAAAGAAGTATACATCTTCTGTTGGTGTTCTTAATTTTGGTGCATAAGCATGCCGGTTATTGGCATTTTCCCAGGGCTTAACTAAAACCTATTGGAATGTGTCCCACATCGCTTGGAGTTGCCCCATCTGTGCTAGTTATAAGGCTCTAGTTTCCCTCTCCTTAATACCTAGGTTTTAAGGAGAAGTGTGGACTGGACTTTTCACCTTTGTGTACTTTTTTTTTTGATAAATTAAAACCTGTGTACTTGTTAACTCACTCAACTTTATCAACCAAAAAAAAAAAAAAAAAAAAACTTCAAAAATCCTAATTATTACATGCCTTTAATGTCAAATAGTAACAAGTGCCCCAGAGCACTAGTTAATTTTTGGATTGGGATAAAAAGTGTTTTGGAAAAAGGAAAAAAGGTTAGATGTTTTATGAAATTCATGGAAAGTATTTTGAAATTGGTGAATAGTGTCTCGTGATCTTTCCCTTTTTGTCTTTTTTTGTTTGTTTGTGGGTGTGTGTCTCATGGATACTTTGCAGCAAGATTCATTTTTAATATATCAGCCGTGGTGTTGAAAATGTTGACTGCAACCAATTGCACTGGGAGCTCTGTTTGGTTGAGTATTTGGAAAATTTGTTTTTTAAAATTGTTATCAAAACTGGTTTGGTAAAAATTGTAAAAAAATAAAAAAATTACTCATTATTTTGATATGGCTCTCTTTTTGGGGACATAAATGTTTTTTGAAAATTAGAAAATATATTTGTTGTGTTTATTTTTGTCAAACTATTTTCTAATTTGTTTTTTAAGAATATTACAGAACACAAGTTCTACAAAATTTCTAGGTTGGTTCGTGTGTGTGTGTAGTTTGTGTGTGATATGTACTACACACGCACATACATGTAGATGGATCATGTAGGTGTTGTGTATCCTTTAATACTTGACTTTGTGAATAGTTAAACACTCAACACTAGGCTAAATGGGGACAGCAACTCATGGTTGACCATGTTCCTTCCAAAATATTTGTAGATTTATGCTTACTGACTACTTATTCATGATGCTCCCGTTTGGTAAGGTTGTGCATGGTTACTTTTTTTTTTTTGTGTACCTTCTTTATCTTAATCTGTGGGTTTTCAATTGTCCTTTCTAGGAGGTTCATGCACCCATTCTGGGTCTTTGGTGGGTGAAAATTGTTGTCATTTCTGTGTTTGCTGCTTTGGCATTTGTTAGCATTGTAAGCTTCCCCAACTTTTATTAAAATCTTTTATGTACATGGTTGTATTTATTTTCTCTTTGTGTTACTTGATTGAGTTAACCTTTCATTTTTGTTGATCCTTGAAGGCATTATGTACAAGGATTGAACCTGGCCTGGAACAACAGATTGTTCTCCCCCGAGACTCGTATCTTCAGGTTTGATTTGATATCTGATGGTTTTATGGAATATGCATGTCTTGGGATGGCAACCGGGTGGTTTGGGTTGGGGCCCTTGGGGGACCCTTCTCCTAATTGCTATCCCTATGAATATCAAGTCATATTGGGCTTGGGATCTTACCAAAACATTCCGTCACTGGCAGGGTTATTTCAATAATGTTTCAGAGTATCTCAGGATTGGACCGCCTGTATATTTTGTTGTGAAAAACTACAATTACAGGTATCATGGTGACAATTATTTATTCTTATGCATTTGCTTTGATACCTGATAATCATTGTTTTTTTTTTTTTTCCTAGGAAAAAGTATCAAATTTGTTGTTTACATGTGACCATGCATGTGTTAACATGCAAGGTATAGAATTTTGTTTAATTTAAAGTCAGAATCATAAACACTTGTGTTTGATAATTTGTTTGACTTTAATTAATTTTGGTTTGTATTGACATTTAGCACCAAATTGTACACTTATGCCCTTTTGTGAATGGATTAGTAGAACTCAAACATCTTTAATTATTCAATTATTAGGTTACATATATGTTTAGATAAGTTTTAGTTTTGTTTTCAAACACTTTCACGCATTTATTTTTCTTTTTTCTTTTTAAACTGTTTCCCTTGTTTTTCGGAAATGTTTCCATTTCCGAGCTAACCAAATAAAAAGTCGAAACCAAATTTGGATCCTTGATTACATGCGGATTTCTCTATGTCCATAAAGAGGAAGGATTTGCTTCCTGCCAATGCTCATAATCAAGGTTGTTAAAATCGGGATCCTACGTGGGATTGTTGGAAGAGACTTGTGAATCGGATCGTAGAATCAGATTGAGGATCATAAGATTCTACTTTCAATGTAAACTAAAATGAAAAATTATCGATAATGATAATATATGTTACATAATTTTAAAAAGATTAAATAAAAACGATAAATTTGATATAATGTATATTTTATGTTAACATCAATTAGAAAAGACATTTGACAAAAGTGTTTATAGTCAAATTTTTTATATACATATATATAAGAAATAAATAATAACAAAAAAAATTGTTAGTATTGGGATCATAGTAGAATCAGGATGTATGCGATTCTACACGATTTTATGAATAGGATCGTAATAAGTGTAAGATTTTACTAAATTTAAGATCCTAGTGTGATCATTTGGCCCAATTGAAGTCGCAGAATTGTAAGATTCTACAATATGGATCAGGATTCTAATAACCATGCTCATAATACAAGATCAACCTATGGAATTTGCTGTTGACTGGACAGTTTTGATTCTTCTGAACTATCTAAACTTCATTAAAATTTGGAACTTGTGAAACTATTGTTGAGAGAATCGGATGTGTGCACATGTGCCTGTGAGCAAGTGAGAGACAGAGATGCATATGTAAGAACAATTGTGGAAATTAAAATTTCCTAGCATGCCATCCATGGCTATATGAAATATCTAGGAGATATGGTAGATATGTTGTCACTGAAATTAAATATCTATGGAGGTCTCATGGAAGTTTTAAATTGTGTGTTAATGCTAATGTACAAGTAGTATTGAACCGGTGGAAGTTTTTGTTACACCGCCTTGGGTGAAACTCAACCCCATAAGCTAGTTGTTAAGGTGAGGATGCCCTCCCGCGTATATACTACACATTACTTTTTTACCTAGGCAATGTGGGACTTCACTTCACACCCTCCCTCACACGCAACGTGCTCACTTACATCAACTGCCTCATGCAAGCTAGGGGGACATAGCCTACACATCCGTGGTACTCCAGCTCTGATACCATGTTATACAGTCTTGGGTAAAACTCAATCCCAAAAGCTAGCTGATAAGGTGCAGGTGACCTCTCACTTATATATTGCACATTACTTTTGTACCTACGTGATGCGGGACTTCACTTCATAGTTTTCAGTATGCTTTTCCCTTACACAGTACTTGTTACTTGCACAATTCTTTAACTATACGCTGGTTCTTCGAATATTTCATTGTTTTTATAGATTTCTGAATGTTTTATATCAAGTTTCCATTTCTAACTCTGCTTTCTCTAAACATTGATTTTTTAATCGTAAAATCTCTATCAATATCTTATGTCTCAATCGTTGACATTGCTATTGCCGTCAACATTTTCTTCAGTGAACAACTACATGCTATGCTAGATCACTGACCCATGTTTATGAATCTTGTATAACTTCAACGGATTTTCATGTTCTATAGATAGAAGAAGAAAGTATCAGCTATAGAAGTAAGTGCTAAAAGGATCAATTTAATACATCAAGGAATTCCAGGGAATACTGGAAATGCTTTTAAAATAAGGATCAATTTAATACATCAAGGAATTCCAGGGAATACTGGAAATGCTTTTAAAATAAGATAATTAATTTCAAGGTTGAGTACTTTTCAGTAAACTGTCAAAAGCGTATATTATTTTAAATTTATTTACTTCTTAACATTCTCTGACACTTACTGTTCAATTTTATTTGCTGATCCTTAATCTGGTTTTGACATTATGTTAGTTTCTGAGTGGCAGTCTACGATTAGGCTATTAGCTATAAATCATATTACTACAATGATGATAATGGTCCTTAAAATGTTTTGGCTTCTTGTTATCTAGTTCTTGTTTCTACATAGTTGATCTTGCTTTTGATGATTTGACAAAAGTCATAGAAAAACATCTTATATGTAGTGATGTTAGTGATACCAGCTGGTATATTATGAAGGTTGCTGCTGTAGCATATAGTATCAGCTTGATATTATCTTGTCCACCAATTACTCCAATCACAACTGTATTTAACATTTCAGTGGACTCCGTATCTCCAACATGTCTCTAATAATAAAAGAATATTGTCCAGAAAACAAGATGGCAATTGGCCTTTGCATAATTGGAATGAAGTACACAAACTTCAATTGTAATTTTTAAAGTGGTTTATGGTTGAAGGTTTTTATTTTTATTTTTATTTTTAATCTTCAACCTAACATAATTTTATAGTGGTTGTCATAATGATGTTGCTCTATCTCCTCAGCTCAGAATCAAGACAAACCAACCAGTTGTGCTCCATTAGCCAATGTGATTCTAACTCTCTTTTAAATGAGGTATATATGCATAAGTTCTCTTCTAATATAGTGTTGAAGATTTTTTTTTATTTTTATTTTTTTCTTCACTGTCTGTGCCCTATGTGTAACACCTCTCCATTGCCATGTATTTATGCAATAACTCATAGCATCATACATACAGCTTCAGATAGGGCCTTCTGTATAATGTTAACTGTATGCATTTTGATGTTGTAAGTTGTAACATGGTAGATGATTTGTTTTAATCTGGTTTTTATGTCAAACTTGTTGCTTCTTGGATATCAGATATCTTGAACTTTATTTTGAACACTAACACTATGACTGGGCCCTGTGTGAGGCAGCATGGGGTTCAACTGATGCATTGTCGTTAATTATGATGATTCAAATTTATTTCTATTCTATACTTGGGAAGATTTATCTTGGAAGACCAGAACTAATTGTATATAATATATTTCTATTACCTTGTGTAGAACTTGAGGTAAATCACACCGGATTTCATTATAGTTTTCTAGAAAATCTGTGTGAAACTATTGTATACTCGTATTTGTACTGGTTTGTTTTCTTTAGTTGTTAATCTCTCTTCAATCTTGTTTTACTAAATTAGTAATTGATTTATACAGCTATTAGTGTGTTGATATTGTTCATGAATGACTGGCTGCTCTGCAAACATAAAATTGACAGATATAGCATGACTTATATTTATATCATCGAAATTCCCCTTCCTATGTGGGCAGAATACCACGTGTGTGTTGTATTTTTCAAAGGGATGTAGCAATTCAAACAAATGACCTTCCTTTTCAAGGTCATATTAGAATTGCTTCCCTCAAAAGCTTAAGTTGTTAGCAAATCAGCCAAACAATGAATATCAAGCTTTCACTTCTACAATAAGCGAAGGTTCAAATCATTGACAAGTATCTACATAACAATGTCCTTGTGATTGCTGCGCAAAATAAATAATCCTGGATCTTGTGATTGTAATAGTTTCAAATATATATGGAATTGTTGTGCTCACAAATCCCAACAAGTAGGGTGCATTTTTATATTGGCGAGGGTATTTTTGCTTGGGATAAGGTGATTGAGAGCTCTTGTTGGGTAGCTTTTTCTCGTCCTTCCATTGGAAACCTTTAACTCTTCTCTGTGTTGGTTAAATCATCGGAGTGTATGTTACTCTCCCAAGGTTTTTCATTTTACTCTTTGCGTCAGGTTGCTCCAAGAGTTGATTTTTTTTTTAAATTTGAAAGTTTTGTCTTCTGCAGATTGCAAGAGCATCTTTAACACCAGAGTCAAGTTACATTGCTAAACCTGCTGCTTCATGGCTCGATGATTTTCTTGTGTGGATATCTCCAGAAGCTTTTGGTTGCTGTAGGAAGTTCACAAATGGAAGTTATTGTCCCCCTAATGATCAGGTAATAGCTTTTTTATTTTATTTTATTTTTTTCTATTTTCAATCAGCTCAATGCCTGTCCAATTATTTTCAACTTTTTAGCTAAATATTCTATTTTTGTTTTAGGTTTGCATGAATTGCGAGTTACATGATTCTCAGGTTTATTTATATCAATCATTATAAAATATCAATACTTTGAAGTAGAAGTTTTTTATGCTGAAAGTTTTTATGTAGAGAAGCATTGGAAAACACAAATCTGTGTTTGTGGAAAATGAAAACAAAATTTGAAAACACAACCAAACAAACTTGTATTAGCCTGAATTCTTTTCTGTCAATTTGTATTGTTGATATGTGGTTGACCTAGCCAACCAATGGTATGTGAGTCCTTATAGGCCATAACTTGCGTATCCTTCCTTAAGATATGATGTACATCACTCTATGTCTTAAGCCAGTGAAACATTTAACTTTAGCCTTTTTTTTTTTTTTGTTATTTATTTGACATCAGTTATTGCAAGATGAACTAGTTTATTGAAGCACATAAAATTTCCTTTCAGCCTGCTTGTTGTCCACCCGATAGTGGTTCGTGTGGCATTGGTGGAGTATGCAAAGACTGTACCACGGTAATTTCACTCTATATCAATTGTGGAGTCAGGAGTATCTCTCAGCTTTGTATCAAAATTTTACAACTAACGGTACTGGAGTTGTCCAGTGTTTCCGTCACTCGGATTTGCAAAATGATCGTCCATCTACAGCACAATTTAGGGAGAAGCTTCCATGGTTCCTAGATGCTCTACCTTCTGCTGATTGTGCAAAAGGTGGCCATGGGGCTTACACAAATGGTGTGGAACTCAATGGTAAGTGAATTCACATACTTGTTTTACTTCATAATTGTTACTTCTATCATTTTTTTAGTATCATATGCATATGTGGTTTTTTGTTTGTAATCAGGGTATGAGGATGGTGTTATTCAAGCATCAGCTTTCCGGACATATCACACACCTCTTAACAAGCAAGTATGACTCTATACCTGGATAGTTAAACTTAGACTAAAAGCTTATAGGGTCACCTTTTGTCTTGTGTATAACTCCCAACTTGATATTCCTATAACTTATTTCAGACTGACTACGTCAACTCGTTGAGGGCTGCACGAGAATTCAGTTCCAGGGTTTCTAATTCATTGAAGGTAACACAAGAAGGCATTGGAAGTAGAATTAACAGTTTATACAGTAGATGCTACATTTTTATGATGGTATAATGATGCACACATGAAACTAAGAATGAGTATAAATTTTCTATATTTTTTGTCTTTCTTTGTCTACATGCTTGATATTTTTGAAAGAAAGAAAAAATGTTTTGCATTACCATGTTGCTGCATTAATACCATTTCTGTGATTGTGACTGTGAAATAGGAGGTATGAAATCACTACAGACTGTTGTGCCACTCATTTCATGGTTTTCATAATTATCTACTGGATGCCAACATTCTCACATTTTTCTTTTGTGCAAACTTGAATGAATGTATACTTTCATGGAAAACATGGTGGAATAAATCACCTGAATTACATCATGGTTAGGACCCTAACTCTCGGATATCCTAGCTGCACATATTTATTAGTTAGGATACTTTATAACATCATAGTTTTTATGTAACCCTTGCCTCAACTTTTCAAGGATCTGCCATTTGAGTTCTTTTCTTCCATTTCATGATTTGGAGTACATATTGATTATGTTTTGGAACATCAGATACTTTTCTCTCTTCACATGCTGTTTTTGGCCGCTACTAGTCTATTTTGTCAAACAAGCCATTTGTACATATGTTAGGCCCTAATATCATTTTTTCCCTTTATCCTTTTATCTATAATTCCAGCTTATGAATTTATCATTTGTTTTTTTATTTCCATTCTTTTGGGCTTTAAAGCATTGCCTGATAGAATTATGACTCATTAGATCTTGATGTAAGAAGAGTAAACTTTGGACTTGTAGTCCAGCTAATGCAGGATACCCCACTTGGATACTCAAAATATGTCTACCTACGGAGGTTTTATGGTGGGGAAGGCTTTTAATAGTTTGTGGATTATAGTTTCAAAAAGTTGTAGGGAGGGTGTGAGGCTGTAGCCAGAAAACGGAAGAACTTAGTTCAGCTTTAAAAGATAGATTTTCAGAAATCTAGTTGTAACAGATCTTGGACCATGACTAAAATATAATGTTTTTTGAGTTCAATCAATGGCCACAAAATAAGGGAAAGCATGAGGTTTGGTTAGAGTTCTGTATGAGAGAGTTCTCGGGCTGGGTATCTGCTTTTTAAGAGCTGTGAACATAATTTGAGAGTAGTAATTTTTCCTTGTGGTTTTGTTTGTTTAGGGTTTACTCTTTATGAAAGGAAAGATGGGTCTTACTAAAGATTGTTTTTTAGTGTTGGAAGTAACAGTTTTTAACTGGTGGCAGATTATAAATGTGACAACTTGCAAGAAAGAAAGAGAAGAGTAGTAGGAGGAAGCACCTAGGGAATGTTAGTTGGACTTCACCCCCACAAGAGCCAAGTAAAATCACTCAAACATGTTCTTAAACTCTATAGAAAGATTACTTGCATATCTGTAAGTTGTCTTCTACTAAATCTACTAGACTAGACTTCAGGGTGCAACTAAGAGATTGTGATTAATAAGACTATTGTATATTTACTTAAGCCTTTATAAAAGACCATTTGGACAAACAAAAAAAAAACTCTACAAAAGACCTAGTAACATAACAACCAATGATACAATCCCTAGACAATAACTACTTCCCATGACCAGCAAGCCTGGGGGAAAATCAGGGTTATACCGAACATATGAGGCTCCAGTTTTGAAGCAGGGTCTCAGAGAGATTTTAGGTAGGTAGTCTTATCCCCTCTTTTTTTTTTCCTTCAGAGAAGCTGATCCCCGTGACTTGATTCCGTGTCACGGCATTGAGGCTGATTAGCAAGCTTTGATATAACCACAATACCCTTGACTCATAAAACATAGTGAAATGCAAATAACATTGTACCAGATCAATATGAACATAAAATTAGCAAAAGGAACTGTCTCAAATTAAATTTTAACTTGATTTCACAATGTTCAAGGTGTGTTTCATCTGAAATTCCAGAGCACCCTGTTACGCCTTTCATTATTAACACATAAAATAAGTAAAAAATAATTTCCTGAACAAGTTAATGCCTTGATGAGTTGTTTTAAGTATTGGAAGACGTGTGATGAAATTATAAAGGCACCCATAAAGTTGTTTGTGTAACCAACCAAGCAATTGGGAGGCATTTTGAGTTGAGTTATACTTCTCTTCTCATATTTAAAAGGCCCTACTGAGTGCTGGTCCATTAAGATTCAGTGAGGGGTGGTGTGACATGAAGTGGCTGTCATCAGAGTTGCTGTTGCGTTATAATTGTTGACACCTGAACTTTTACCATTACACTAGGCAGTGACCCGGGAAATCATACAGTTCCTTTGCAATTTTTATGTTTATCACTTGTAAATGTTGGAAAATATTTGATAATTTAAACTAAAGTGTCATTTGGCATATCAAAAGCACGTCAATAATGAATATTTATGTGGAAAAGAATGATACTGTTTGCATGTGTTAATGCACTACATGTTAAGAGAGCCCATGACGTATTTCTCGATATTAATCTGCTTGTATTTCCATGAGCCATATATATGTAAATATGTCTACGCATGGGCAAAACTCAAGCAACTGATAATAATTTGGTTGCACCCAAAAGTCCTTTTTGGTTCTGACTGAGCTTTCTCTTGTTTCATTGTATGAGGGAGACTAGTAGTTTTGGTTTTGGGGATGGGACCATGTCTCTTATTTTCACCGAAGAATTTTGTTGAGGAGATGTCACCCATTTGCTTTTAGTCAATTCTTGGACAATTGATTGCCTTCATCAAGTGATCTGACAGCGTCAAATTCAGTCTAGTTATAGAATTCACAAGTCCTTTTTTTAATAAGGGTAAATGTAGAAATTTAATGTATAAAGAGAAATAGAGAATTGTATTATTGATTGATTTATATTGATTGATGTTGTTGTAAGATTGATAAATTACAATTCCTATACAATCTATATATAGAAGAAAATGTGGTAGTAGGTGTAGTGGAGGTGATAGTGGGTTAGGTGAAGTGGAGTGTGTGGTGAAGTGGAGGTAGGTGAAGTGGAGTGTGTAGTGGAGTAGGTGAAGGTAAAGATGGGAAATTCTAACAGTAAATTACATGGACACCCCTTGAGGTTTGTCTTAAACTTCCTCACGTTCTGGAAATTACATTCCATTACAATTTAATCCTTCCGTCAGTCAACCGTTAAGTCATCTAACGGAAAAAACTAATATAAGAAGTTAATTTTTTAAAATGCCTATTTTACCCTTGTTTGCATATATAAAATTGACAAACAATTTACCATTTAGGAAAATTTTATATGCCCCAGTCATGGTCTTTGGTTATGACCTATTATGGTGTTAGTTATAACTATTGATTATAATATTATTTTAATTATGATTCAAAAGGAATTTGGTTATACCTTATGCAGTGTTTGGTTATAACTATTTTTTTTAGTTATGATTGAAAATGATCTAATTATAATATTTGTGATAATGAACACCACAAAAGCTTGTGTACCATAGCATTACCTAAATGTTTAATAGTATAATAAATATATGTATTGAATGAATTTTTGTAATTCCCTATAGATTTTCTGTACTCTAATAATTTTTTTTTAAGAAAGTTTTTTTTTAATAAGAGTAAAATAGGCATTTAAAAAAATTAATTTCTTATATTAGTTTTTTCCATTAGTTGACTTAACGGTTGACTAACGGAAGGATTAAATTGTAATGGAAGTTTAAAGCTCAGAGGGGGATGTAATTTCTAGAACGTGAGGGGGGTACTTGTATTAAAGACAAACCTCAAGGGGTGCCGGTGTAATTTACCCTAATAATATTATATAGTTAGTAATACTGGAATTTTTTTATAAAAAAATTCAAAATCTTGTGTGACAAAATGGACCACAATGCTCAAGCTTATCCTTTCCTTCAAAATTAATCCAAAGTCAAAGTGGATTATGTACAAGAGTCTTCTGTCCAGTTAATGGGATGGAAGTCCTACGATGTTTCCTCATCTCGCACTACCTCCAAAAATTTGCTCCATTTTAAGAAGCATGTTCTTTATTATTGAGCTATGTTAAATAACAATCTATTGATCCTTTCATGTAAGCCTTCGTTTACTTAAGCAAATTGCAGAAATCTGTCCATTTGTCATGCCATGTTTGTTTGTGTAATTTTTTTTTTTCCTAATGCAGATTGAGATCTTCCCATATTCCGTATTTTATATGTTTTTTGAGCAATACCTTGACATATGGAGGACAGCGTTGATCAACCTTGCCATAGCTATTGGTTAGTGATTTTTTAGAACTGACAACACCTAAAATATCGATGCACAAAGGGATACTTTCTTACGGATTCTTACTTTTAATTTGGTCGGCACTGCTAAAGCTCAAAATTTGTAATTACTTGAAATTTTTGGCTCTTATTTATAACTGAAAAAACAGAATTATTTTCTCTTTTTCTTATTCTCAAGGGTTAGTCTACTCTGAACACCATTTTAAACTCTTCTCGTGTTTTTGAGAAGTTGCCTATTTGTTTTTTTGATGGTCTTCGTGATGGCAAAGTTATGTTAATTTTTTTTAAACTAGTGACTACATTTTGCCTGAAGAACCTAGGCTTGCCATACATAGCTTTGATTCAAATCTTGCATTTAATCAAGTTCTCATAAACATTTTTCATAATTGTACATGTATCCCTTTGGGATTATAGTCTATGCTTTGCTTTTTATATTATATATTTACTTTTTTTTGCTTGGTGGTTGTGATCTATATGAAGATCAAGGAGCTGGCACTATATATAGTCATTTTTCTTGTCATTTAACTTTTTTACTCAAAGTGATGCTCAAAGGTTTCTTTGACATCTGAACATGAAAACCCTCAAGTGGCTTGATATCAAATGAATTTCAGTTCTGACCATTTCATAAGTGGATTTCAACCATGTCCTGAGTTCATAGCTCCTATCACTTCATACTGAGGTGTTAACACCAGACTGTAATTATTCTGGTATAGTTATTATATATATATATATTTTTTTTTTGGACAGTAATGAAACCTGAGTTAATACTGCATATGTGCATTTGTCAGGTTATAGTGCTGCTCACTTTTTAAAAGCATTGATTAAGTTTGTTTGATTCTTTAACAGGTGCAGTTTTTGTTGTTTGCTTAATTATCACATGTAGGTCAGTATATTTCTTCCCTCTTCTGGGCTTTGCTATTGCTTCCTAAATAAAGTGCTTTCTTTTCCCAGAAAAATATTAATTTTGTTCTGCTCTTGCTATTTCAACTGTAGTTTATGGAGTTCAGCAATCATTATACTTGTATTGACAATGATTGTTGTGGATATGATGGTACATTTTCTTCCTCGACAATAATTTATGAAATCTCTATCATTTAATTAATGATTACACTTATGATTCATCATTTCATAATTAAGCCAATCTACACCAGTTTGTTGCCTCCACTTACAAGATGAAACTCTGCAGGGTGTAATGGCAATTCTACATATCCAACTGAATGCGGTGTCTGTTGTTAACCTTGTAATGTCGGTGGGCATTGCCGTTGAGTTCTGCGTGCATATAACACATGCTTTCTCGGTCAGTTTTACTCTGTTTTTAATTTTATCTTCATAATATAGATTCACTTGGAGAAGTGATTTCAATTGTTTATTCTGGAGTTTTATGCAAATTTGTGCCAGACCTTTAAAATACTATGACAAAGTGAGGTTGTAATTCTTTTCTTTTTTACAAGCTCTACTGAAACATCCAAACAAAAAAAGAAAATATGAATGTGAGAAACATAAATGAAACTAAGTGGTCTCTCCATATTTCTCTTTTTCCCTCAGAATCTACTCTCCCTCTCTTTCCCACTCACAAACACACACCCCCTCCTTCCACATACTCCCACCCTCACAAATCTGTGCTCACCACCCCTTTTTATTATCAATCAACCAAAAAATCTTTCGTTGTGCATCAAAAAGGATCAAGATGTGCCATTTGGTTCATTGTAAAGCATGATCTAGAAAAGGAAAATAAGATTTTTTTTTTAACTTCAAATTGAGGGTTGCAGGTAATCAGTTTATGCTTCATTAGTTCTCCAAGTGTAGAGAAAAGCACAAGTCAGATAGGAAAAAGAAAGATCATCGATGTTAAAGCTTTTTGTGATGTTTAAAAGAATGCCTATATTATATTATAATTTAGCATGGTGTATTGAACGCACTGATGATAATAGAATTCTTTCAGCCTCAAACACCTGAGCCTTTTTTGAAAGGGATTAAAGAAAATTTATTTGATTTGTAAAGTTACTCCTAGTGAGGACTAGTAAAGATTACGATTGGTAACTTGATGACAGTCAGGGTTTTTTTTCTCAAATAGAAAGCTATTGATTTACTTATTTGACTTATATTTAATATGCAAACTGTGCATTATGGTCTTCCACCATTATGTTCTCACACATTTCTCAAGCAGGTAAGCAGTGGAGATAAAAACCAACGCACAAAGGAGGCTTTGGGTACGATGGGTGCTTCTGTCTTCAGGTTCTTTTTCCTCTCTACAATCAAATTGTGTGTTTTATTGTCTGGATGAGGCTTTTGCACCACTTAGTTAACTCCTATAGTTGCACTCTTAACTAGTTTTTCAAAAACCAAAACAAGAAGGCACAATACATCAGCTGTTGACAACAAATAATTGCACTCGTAACAAGTTTTTCAAAAACCAAAACAAGAAGGCACAAGACATCAGCTGTTGACAAACAAGATGGAACAACATGCATGTGTTTGAACCCATATGAATGAATATTGAGTGGTCGACTAACACTTCGAAATAATCAATAAAATTAACTACCCTTGGGTTGTTCAGAGAATCAAACTCTGCATTTCTGCTTTTTCTTTTTTTGATTTTTTTATGACTCTATTAAAATGGAAACTCTTTTGTATATGCCCTATACCATAGTGCCCATCTTAGGAATCATGCAATTTCCTTTTTCTGATTTATGAAATCGAATTCTTTTGTTATATGCCGTATACCATAATGCCAATTTTTGGGATCCTGCAATTCTTGGGTTGGACCAACATGATTGATTTATTTATTTAATTTACATAACTAAAAATTTTAAAAATTAAAAATAAAAGTCGATTTATCGATTGAGAGAGCAGATAATGCCTTCACCTCCCAGAAATTAAAAGTAGAAACAGATAATGCCTGATTATTCTTTGTGCATTTGGTTTCTGCTTTCCTTTTTTCTTTATTCATTTCAGTATCTTTCAATGGATACAAGTGCTTATCGGTGGATAGATATCATAGATTTATAAACTCCATTGCTGATTGTATATATCTTATCCTGTTCAGTGCCCTTTAAGCTTAACAGATCAAAAATAATGATGTGATGCACTGAAATTAAACATACCAAAATAATGATGTGATGGTATCACTGCCATCCATTTTTCCTTAGTAGGGAAACCATCGTTTTGACCACTCCTTCCCATCCGCATCTTTTCTTTTTCTTCTTTAGAAAAAAAGGAAAAGAAAGGAAATTTCAGATTACCCCACGAACGTGGTTGTGTAATCAATCTTAATATGATTGTAATGCACATCAGACATACCCTACAGATCGAAACTCTTTCTAACAAACCGGCCTGTAAAGTAAAGCTCAATGCCTTGGGCAGGTGTCTGATCAGCTGCAAAAAATTATTAGTTTTGTTGTACACAATAATTAAGTGCGTTAATTTTTCTCTGTCAACATGAAATGGTTTTGAAGTAACAAATCCATCTTCCTGATGTGCTTTTGCAGTGGAATTACGCTCACAAAGCTAGTTGGAGTGCTTGTTCTTTGCTTCTCAAGGACAGAAGTTTTTGTGGTATCTGACATTACGCATTCGATTTTTTATTGTCAATACGCTTTTTCATTGGTAATATAAATTTTATCTTTTGTTTTGCAGGTTTATTACTTCCAAATGTACTTGGCATTGGTCCTTCTTGGTTTCTTGCATGGGCTTGTATTTTTACCTGTAAGTTATATGCATACTTCCTCTCTTTGTGTTCTTGTGGCATTCAATAACTTATTTGTAAAAAGTTCAATTCTCCATACTGGTATGTTTGATTCCAATTTTACTACGCTTTTTATTAAAATATGAATAGCAATTGTATAAACAATTTGAACTTACTTGAAAATTATACTTTTTAATTGTAAAAATTAAACAAATTTTATCAAACAAAATCATAAACAGCTATTTAAAATAAAAAAAAAACAAGACTTAATTGTCCATATTATCATGTTTTTGTCTTGATATATTCTACTTGGAAGTAATTTCATCCTAGGGTTCTGTGGTGTGAGATCATTTCTAAAAGTTTCCTTCCAATTATTGGCAATTGTTAATCTTAATTTTATTATTAATCCAAAAGTCATAGACAATAATATCAATACTTACAATTTATTTGCTTCCTGTCATGGGCATTTGGAATAAGTAAATTTTTGGTAACTGTGTGTAGGTACTATTGAGCATATTCGGTCCACCATCAAGGAGTTTAGTAATGGAGAAGCAAGATGAGCAAACACCTGTTCCATCACATCCGTAAAAGATGATTTGGTGCATTGCAAGAGCCTCTTGTTTGTTGGGGTAAAATTTTGCTCTTTAGATGCCTTACCACCTGTAAAATCAGTGCAAGAACACATTACAGTAGTATTTCTACTTGTAAAGTATCCATGTATTGATATATTGAAAGAAGTGAAAAAAAAGAGTATACATATCTTTCAAAAAACTCGAGTTTCATGAACATGCAAATTCAAGTAACTAGTGATTGGACAAACGATGAAGATTCCCAATTCTTCAAGAATTTAGAATCATAACCAACGGTTGGAATTTTTTTTCCACGAACTACTTAAAATACGATTAGCTGCTAAGGGAACATTTAATTTGTGACGGGCCTATTTGAGCTTAACACAAGAATTTAAGGGAAGCACCCCTAATCAGCTGAAGATCCGACCTGAATCCGACTGACTTGACCATAATATGGGCAGTTTCGCCAATAACAGAGTCGAAATGCACAGCTCAATATAGGATGAATGCACATGAAACTACAGCTAAAACCTAACTCCATCATGGGTAATCCGGAGTGTTGGCGACTGGGGAATTGAGACACATTCCGCCACTCGGAGTACGAAATGTACCTCGTTTCCCGTGCCCGGGCTAACTCCTATACCGGACACAATGCAACATGCATGATATGCATGAAATGCGACTAATATACAATTCTAACATACACAATGCTATGAAAATGAGATGCCTCGAAATGCGTGCACATGGGCACGCAAACTGAGAAAATGTGAAAATGAGATGCCTCGAAGTGCGTGCACACGGGCACGCAAACCGAGGCGATGACAGATACAATGAAAATGAGATGCCTCGAAGTGCGTGCACACGGGCACGCAAACCGAGGCGATGACAGATACAATGAAAATGAGATGCCTCGAAGTGCGTGCACACGGGCACGCAAACCGAGGCGATGACAGATACAATGAAAATGAGATGCCTCGAAGTGCGTGCACACGGACACGCAAACCGAGGCGATGCAGAAATGCGATGAAATGACAAATGGGCTTATACCAACATGGGTGAGCCTCAGCCACACTCACGTCGGATGCCGTCGGATAAAAAAGGAAGTGCCTCGAAATGCGTGCACACAGGCACGCAAACCGAGGCGATGGCAAAATGCGATGTAATAACATGAAAATGTGATATGGACTTATACCGACATGAGTGAGCCTCAGCCACAATCACATCGGATGCCGTCGGATAAAAATGAAGTGCCTCGAAATGCGTGCACACGGGCACGCAAACCGAGGCGATGGCAAAATGCGATGTAATGACATGAAAATGGTATGTAAACATGGTAATGGATTTTCAGCAACAAAATAAGGGGGAAAACAGTCCCGAAATGAGGCGAAACGACATGAAATGCAAGGAAATGCCCCGAAATGCAACATTAGGCACCCGAAATGGCCTGCGTGCACACGGGCACGCAAACCGAGGCGATGGCAAATGCGATGTAATGACATGAAAATGTGATATAAACATGGTAATGGATTTTCAGCAACAAAATAAGGGGGAAAACAGTCCCGAAATGAGGCGAAATGACGAAATGCCCCGAAATGCAACATTAGGCACCCGAAATGGCCTATAGCTATGCTAAACATGCACAATATGGACACGCAATGCAAAGACAGAAGCTAGACAGTCCCAAAATAAGCACTTTTCCAGTTTATAGCATGGCCAAACAGTAAGTATAGATATGGCAAAAATGGCATGCAAGAATACGGTATTTTCAAGGGGTAATGAAGTAAGTGATATAAAAAAAACCCAAACTGAAAAATTTCCTTCTACAACACTGAAGATGTACCAAAAATATGAACATTTACAGTATATGGCAGTCTCAAAATCAGTATATAAATATGCTAAAAATGTGATGTAAAATGAAGCTCAAAAGGTGCTAAAACATGAAGTATACAAAATAATCACCAAACAGAAAAAAAGTGTGAATGAAACATGAAGTATAGGCCAAAAAAAGGCCACTTTCAGTTCGGACCAAGGTCCAAAAACAGAAACAAAGAGGGCTATCAACTCATGCAAAAAAAGAGGCCAAATGAGGGATTGAACTACAAGTGACACATGGAGATACCAAACAATGTTGAACCCTTCTCCAATGTTGAAGAGGGGCTCAAAATAAGCCTAATGTCAGTTTACAACATGCTCGAAAATAAATTGCTCATGGGTCAAAAATAGCATGCAAAACTATGACATACAAGAGGATCAATGAAACAAGTGTATTATGGAGGGCTCAAACAGGGTTGAGCCCTTGATGAAAAGTGAAGATGAGCTCAAAAGATGGCCCTTTTCAGTTAGGGCCGGAGCTTGAAACAAAAAGCATGCATGGCTTACATATTGATTAAGAAAAAGGGTCAAAAAGGTAAAAGTGTAACTTACCCTTGAAGATCCAAACTTTGGTTGCTTCTTGGATGGATTTGCAGCTTCTTTAGCCTTCAAGAAATCATGACATATACGGTGGTTGATCTATATTCAGCAATGGGTCGCTATTGGGTTGCAGATGGAGATGAATTTCAATACCCATTAAATCCAAATTTGCGTTACTCACGTGCCACCGTCAATACCATGAGAGCTGAGTGGGAATTTCGCAAAACTCGAGCAAACGTTCTGTTGTTGAAGGCGGTAGTTCGATTCACCGAGTTTAGTTTTTTGTCAACCCCTTATTCATTACCGGAGTCATCATTTGTACTAGACTTTCAGGAATTGGAAGGTGACTCTTTCTTCTTTCCTAATGGAGATTGAAATTCTTTGTTAATTAATCCCTATTTCACCAGCCCCAGTTAAGGGAAGCTTTTGACCGAGCTACCTGTTATGTTTTATGTGTTTTAAGTATTCACATAATTGAACATACATTAATCCATTCATTAATCCAGAACATTCATTAACAAATTGCAATTCAATAAAGAAAGTCATGAACTCATAAATGTGTACTTATAAATGTAGTTATTTCATAAACTTCAGGTTCATAACAAAAATACTTGAAATACATCCGTACGTTACACCAACAACAACGTTGTCTTACACTCCAGGAATGAACATATGACAGATAACGGTGTTTGATTTCTTATTAACTGAACACACAATACATAAACATAACAGTTAGATAGAGAAACACCTAATTCATGACCTAATATTGCATATTAATAGCCGTAACATTTGACAGACACAATACATAAGCATAAACTTAAACATAAACATAATAGTTATACTTACTCTAACACAGACATTACATATTAATGCAAGTTGTTATATTGCCGAAGTGTAGACATTAACACCTAATTCGCGCTTAAATCGGCAGGTGGCTCAGAGTCTGAACAATCCGAAAGCTCAGCGTCAGAGACAAGTTCAGGATCCTCTATGATACCCTTGATAGCCGCAACATTTGCTTCTGTTTTGTTCTTCTGGGCATCCTTCTTAACTATGAGTAGCTGCATATCGCGGGCCAACCTACGACCCATTTGAGAAATCTCACATTGTAGTCTTTGACATAGTCGATCAACATTATCAGGATCCTGCTTTTGGATCTCAACAGAACGTGCTTTTGGCACATTCAGTCGTCTTTCCCGACATAATCTTTCCATTTGCACTCGCTCTATAAATAGTGCGGGCCACTTCAGAAGTCTAGCGTTTGCATAACCATATCCTGTTTGATTATCTGATGGTTGCTCCACCAAACCACATGGATCTCGATAGTACTTGGGCATGACAAAATGTCGCTTCCCAAACCTATCATGATAAGCACAAGAGGCATCTAACAAAGGAAATGGTGTTTCATCTTCAGCATCGCCACGTCCCCTTCCCCCTCCTCGTCGTGAACTTTCACCCCTTTGCAAGTTCCTACCACCTCTGCGATTCCCACTCCCTCCCATGAACCATGTAGCCATGTTAATTTTTTAATCAAATAAATGATAATTTCGTAGGGCGGAATGAGTTATAAGGTTGTGTCTTCACCTTTACTCGTTTATATAGTTGGTTATGAACGGCTTTAGAAAGATGCCTCTGCATGACAATCCGACATATATGAACAAGGTATGAGTTGTCACTAGACTGAAAAAACAGAGAAAAGCAAATACTGTGTACGAAGTCACGTGACTTGAGAATCTATGTACGTATACGGACAAAATAAGGGCATGCTAACTGTAAGGTAAATCAGTGAATTCACTGTTGCCATGTGACTTACTGAATTGAGAATCCCACATATATCAATAAGAGATGAGTTGTCACTGTAATAAAAAAATACATGACTTGACAATCCATCTGCATATACGGACAAAAAAAGGGCATGCTCACTATAAGGTAAAACAGTGAATTCACTGTTGCCATGTGACTTTCTGAATTGAGAATCCTAAATATATCAAGTAGAGATGAGTTGTCACTGTAATAAAAAAATCGAGCAAAAAATCGAGAAAACGAAAGCCTGTGCACCAAGTCACATGGCTTGACAATCCATCTGCATATACAGACAAAATAAGGACATGCTCACTATAAGGTAAATCAGTGAATTCACTGTTGCCATGTGACTTTCTGAATTGAGAGTCCCACATATATCAAGTAAAGATGAGTTGTCACTGTAATCAAAAAATACATGACTTGACAATCCATCTGCATATACGGACAAAATAAGGGCATGCTCACTATAAGGTAAAGCAGTGAATTCATTGTTGCCAATTGAGAATCCCACATATATCAATACGAGATGAGTTATCACTGTAACAAAAAAGTCGAGCAAAAAATGGAGAAAACCAAAGCATGTGGACCAAGTCACATCACTTCACAATCCATCTGCATATACGAACAAAATAAGGGCATGGTGACTGTAAGGTAATTCAGTGAATTCACTGTTGCCATGTGACTTTCTAAGTTGAGAATCCCACATATATCAATAATAGATGAGTTGTCACTGTAATAAAAAAATCGATCAAAATATCGAGAAAACCAAAGCCTGTGCACCAGGTCACATGACTTCACAAACTTAGTCCCCCAACTGGACCAACCACTTGGGTTTGAGCTTGTTTGTCCAGCTCCCGAAGTTTAGTTTTCTATCAACCCCTCATTCCTTACCAGAGTCATCATTTTTACTAGACTTCCAAGAATTGGAATGCGACTCTTTCTTCTTTCCTGATGGAGATTGAAATTCTTTACGTAGAGGATCCCTATTTGACGAGGCCCAGTTACGGGAAGCTTTTCACCGACCTACCTGTTATGTTTTATGTGTTATTGAAGGCGGTAGTTCATTTCACCGAGTTTAGTTTTTTGTCAACCCCGTCATTCATTACCGGAGTCATCATTTGTACTGGACTTTTAGGAATTGGAAGGTGACTCTTTCTTCTTTCTTAATGGAGATTGAAATTCTTTGTTAATTAATCCCTATTTCACCAGCCCCAGTTAAGGGAAGCTTTTGACCGAGCTACCTGTTATGTTTTATGTGTTTTAAGTATTCACATAATTGAACATACATTAATCCATTTATTAATCCAGAACATTCATTAACTCATTGCAATTCAATAAAGAAAGTCATGAAGTTCAGGTTCATAAAACAAATACTTGAAATACATCTGTATGTTAGATTAACAACAACATTGTCTTACACTCTAGTAATGAACATATGACACAACATACATACAAACATATATGGAAGATAACGGTGTTTGATTTCTTATTCCTCATCTGACATGTAGTAGTCAGAGAAATATTTTTCATTATTTAAGACATTATTTCGCTCAGTCATTATCAAATCTCGGTTGCTTGCTTCTGCCATTTCGGTGGCTAGCTGAAGCATGAAATGTCGACATCTCCGCATCAACATTCTGTTGTTCTCCTTCTTAATTCTGGTAACTGCTATTTCATAGTCACTCACATTTCATCTAGCCATGGTCAATGAACGACGATGAGGTACCGGTGCCCCAAAGTTACGTAGATCATTATACAATACTTCTTGCTCCGTTACCCTGAACGCCCACTCTGCTCGGATACCAGCATAATAATCCTTCAGACTTGAGTACTTTTCGCTCTTGTAGTCATACGTAAATGGAGGTAGCAGCCACACTTTCGGTTTTCTTTGCCGGCGTGAACTTCCTGCACCTCTTGAAGACATTGTTCAAAAAATAAAAAAGTTAATAATAATAGTAATTGTAGATATGTTACTATTGTTATGACTTCAACAAACATCATACTGGGGTATTTATAGACATGGGGGTTAACTAGAGGTGATCTGGTGACGATAATGCGTCATGGGGCACTATGGAATATGTGATACACGTGATATTATTTTATGTTATTCATTTCATGCAATTTTGAGTACCCGTCACTTTGTGTACCTGTGATGTAGTCACGGACGTGGTTGTCAGATAAAACAAAATGCAGTGAGTTGTCCAATAAACAAAATGCAGTGACTTGTCACATCGCCACATGAAACTATTATCTCATGCTATATTTTATCTCATTTTCACGATTGGAACTTTGCAGCCTATATTTTATCTTATTTTCACTTAATGAATTTCACAGTCATCCCATTTTCATTGTTATTACACAATCGTTCATGATATTTTTTTACCAATATAATAGCATTTTCTACTTTTTTTGTTAGCAAGCTTTGATTGCCCATAAGCATATATGGTGTTGAAACTGAAAATTACAAAAGTAAAACAAGGAAATTATTGTTCGTTGGGTGAACTTTATGTAATCTAATAAGCACCTCAATTTGTGAAGAAACAAAACGTACTAGTTCATTTTGATAAATACAAAACAAAAAAAAAAGAAGAAGAAGAAGAAGAAGAAGAAGATGTTGTTATTTATTACCTAGATTCATCATTGATTTTATCAAATCGAACTCCTTCATTGTATGCAAACCGATGACCCTCTGATGACACATTAACAATCCTTTCACTTTCAAACAAAATGCAAATGAAGATTTTTTTTTTTTTTTACAGGAATATCATTCTTCACATAATTTCTTGTACAATTTTTATATATGAATAGAGTTTTCTTTTTTCTTTTTTTATTTATTTACTAATATGAACACCTTTGGATCTAGTAGAGACCATACGCAAATGATTTTTTCACTAGTTTTATAAAAAATTGTAAACCAGCTTTACCTACATACAAGGTCAAGAGGGGCACCAACTCCCATATACAAAGAAAGGAATACAGATCCTTTACAAATTCAAATCCCTTAAAAGAAGGGATGATCCTTCCCACCACTCAACTTGAAAGAAGCCTCAACTCTGTGGCATATATGTTATTCAATAAGTGATGTAATTTAAGTGGACAATGAAGAAGCAAAAAAAATCTCATTATCATGAACTTGCCTAATCAAACATCTCATATAAATCATGCAACAGACTGCTGAAAGAATTTCAACCATATTTGATCTGAATAAGAAAGTATCTAAGTTGCACTCAATTAGGATAAGCAATATGCAAGCCAATTAGGATAAGCAATATGCAAGCATTATTAGGTTGGAGTTTATGAATGAGCCCAGGATATATAGCTCAGAAAATTAAAGCACCAGACCTTCACGGAGTTGCTTTTTTCTTCAGGGAGAACTGTTTCAGAGATTTCATCTAGTTGGCTACACTCATATGTATCATTACAGCTATCACCTTCACATTCAGAACTACTGACTCCTGTTACTTTTTCAGTAGATTCTCCCTTACAATATACCAAATCTCCCAACACAACTTGGTCAATTCCTGCAAGTATGCCGTATAGAAGTAAAAACAGAATGGCACAGTCAACCTCAAATAATGCAAATAAGGATCTGATAATGATAACTATTTACAAAATTACATATGTATCAAATAAATGAAATAATCCATAAATTTACTAAGTAAAACTGTGCAGTCTACATACCATTTTTTTGCACTCTCATACTTGCGGCATGGTTCCACAAGTAGCTTTGGTAACTATGCACATACCTGCAGTATAGAAAATTGACTACATTGTAAAATTTGAAAACCAAAATCTTATTGAAGTTCCCAAATCACACTAATTCCTCTCAGCAACTAATTACTTCTCCTTTCTCTGCCCCCGTAGTATTTACTTTCTTGGTTAGAGGGAGCATGAGCAACCAACTAAACATTTTTAATTCCAGGGAATTATCGTGCATGGTTCTTAATAAGGATAGATAGTCTTTTTCTTTCATACTTTTGTATACCAAAAAAATTTCAGAAAGGTCTTATAAAGACCAGGCTAAAGAATTTATTTCTCACATATAACCTACTCATAGTTTAATCTCATCAACAACATCACAGGGGCTACTTGCGGGTATGCAATACCAGCCATAATAGCACTTTTTTTTGATAAATAAATTTTTATTGAAGAAAGAGCATCAAGAAGATTCTAAAGGGTACAAAATTGAAGATCTTTAAAAAATGGGAACAAAGCGATAATAGCACTTTATTCTGGAAATGTTTCAAAATTCCAAGTTGGGACAATAAATTAGGTACCCAAGGGCCAATGTTGAATCTGCTGGTCAGTTTTGACACACAGAATGTTTGCAAGTATTTCGTAATATCTGTACGGAAGATGGTTTAGTTTTTTACTTTAAAAGTGCATACAGCTAAAAATAATTATTCATTCTTGAACTCTTTACGACATTAAAAACAAGAAGTTCAAAAAGTTTACATACTTACAAAATACATATACATGAACTGCTCAACTTGATAATAAATACCAATGGCATTCAAATTTCATAACTTTAAAAAATAAATATCATTTTCTCTAAACTTCACCAACTTGTTGATGGCAAGGGAAATGATGTCAAAAGACTACAGCTAACAGAGTAGTAAAAAGAAAATTGAAAATTAAGTTGTATGAGAGGAAAAACCCAGATGGCGCATGGTTGGGGTTGTGGAAAGAATAATTGCAAATTAGCTCATCTAACGCATATTCCTCGATAAAACAGGATGGCCAATCAAGATTTATGTAGATGGCCCCCAATAGTTCAATCGCAGGCTCTATACACATTAAACACACACACACACTAGCTCACATGAATGAAACATAGTGGTTCTTTTAGGGTGACATATGACCTAGACAAACATATGTTATGACAAAATATTAAACAGTCTAACAGAGATGCACTTTTGCAAAATTTGAATTATGCGCTGTTTGAGGAACTAAACATTTAGTAATTAGTCCCACTGGCAACTTCGAGTTGCTAACCATGTTAGAGGAAAAAATCGTTACCCAAATTTAACCTAAAAATACTTTCCACTGCACCTGTTTAAATATAGGCTAAAAATTGAGTCTCTTTACATGAATTTCTGATTATTTTGGAATAAATTTCATATTTTAAGTGGTAACAAAATATGTGTTACCAATGCCATAAACAAATAATGGAGAAACCATTGAAATATTTCAAATCTAAGCACTTAAAGGGCTATTAAACAGCCCTTCACATTATTGCTGAGCTGACCACTTACATCATTCTAAGAGTCCTAGGTATAGCCTTTAGAGCTTGTAAGTAGTTTTCAGGACATTTCTTCAAACACTGCAGCTGAGATGGATTGAAAAGTGAGTGTTAGGCATGCAACCTAAAAAAATAAGACAAGGATAGAAATATGGAAGCATATACCATTAACAAAAGAAGGGGAAAAGAAAAAAGGAGAATAAATGCTGAGACATCCAGAGTTGGGAACTTACTATAGCCCTTTCAGCCACCATATAACGAGGCAATTGCTTCAAGGTCCCATCAATATCATTACTTTCTTTATAATATTCACGTACCATTCTTATGGAATCCTTCTGTATTCCAAGATTTAAGTTAAGGAGCTCAGTAAATAGAGAAGACGGGAGTGAGAGAGTGAGCAACGCAAACAGAGAAAAAGATAAAGAGTAAGAGACAGAAAAAGAGATAGAGAGAGAAGAGAGATGAACGAGAGAGATAGAGAGAAGAGAGATGAACGAAAGAGACAGAGAGAGAAAAGAGATGAGAGAAGAGATAGATAAATAGAGAATATGAGAAGAAGAGAGTGAGCAAGGCGAACATAATGAGGGAGAAATAGACAAATAGACAAGCATACAGAGAGAGAGATGAGTGATGAGTGAGAGAGAGACAAAGAGAAAGAGATAGACAGAAAAAGAGACAGAGAGAGAAAGAGAGAGAGAGAGAGAGAGAGATAGAAGGAGAGATAGAAAATGAGAGAGAAACAAGAGATGAGCGAAAGATAGACAAAAAGAGAGAGAAATAAGGCGAAAAGAGATGAGTGAGAGAGAGACACAGAAAAAGAGAGAGACATAGAGAGAAGGGAGACAGATAGGCAAACAGACAGAGAGAGAATAGTGATGAGTGAGAGAGAGAAAGAGAAGAGAGAAAGGAAGATGAAAAAATGGATGAAAAGATATAGACAAAGAGAGAAAGAGCGAAAAGAGATAAATGAGAAAGAGATAGAGAGAGATGAGCGAGAGAGATAAAGAGAAGAGAGATGAGTGAGAGAGGCAGAGAGAGAGAGGCAAAGAGAGAAAACAGATGAGAGAGATAGAGAGAAGAGATATGAGCGAGAGACAACGAGAGAAAGAGAGAAAGAGAGAGACAGAGACAGACAGACAGACAAACAGAGAAGAGTGATGAGTTAGAGAGAGAGGGAGAGACAAAGAGAGAAAAAGATAGAGAGTGAGAGACAGAAAAAGAGACAGAGAGAGAAAAGAGATGAACGATAGAGATAGAGAGAAGAAGAGAGAGAAAAGAGATGAACGAGAGAGATAGAGAGAAGAGAGATGAACGAAAGAGATAGAGAGAGAAAAGATATGAGAGAAAAGATAGATAAATCGAGGAGAAGCTCGATAAATAGAGAATATGAGATGGAGAGAGTGAGCAAGACGAATATAATGAGGGAGAAATACACAAATAGACAAGCATACAGAGAGAGAGATGAGTGATGAGTGAGAGAGAGTGAGAGTGAGAGAGAGACAGAGAGAGAGAGATAAACAGAAAAAGAGACAGAGACAGAGACAGAGAGAATGAAAGATAGAAAAAGAGAGAGAAACAAGAGATGAGCGAAAGATAGACAAAAAGAAAGAAATAGAGCGAAAAAAGATGAGCGAGAGAGGGACACAGAAAAAGAGAGATGGGCGAGAGAGATAGAGAGAGATATAAATAAGAGAGAGAGGAAGATGAAAAAATGAATGAAAAGAGATGTTATATTAAAAGAGTAAGACGACATTATTTTTTTTATTTTTTTTGTGACAGAAAAATACCATTGAATTTATTCAAACTATTTTGTGACTGTAAGCTGTCTCAAAACCACAATCGCTACGTTAGGTTAGAGTTTTCCAAAAACTCTTTTGAGAAAATTATACTTTCTTGTTTTCCGTGTTATATTATTTTTACTGAATTTTTTTAATATTTAATTTTTTTAATTTTTAGACACACCTAACATAAATACACCTAAAAAGTAAAAAAATCTTTTAAAAATTCACTAAATACCAAAAATACAAAAGAAATACAATAATTCAATACATTTTTTTTTTATATTTGTATGTATTTATTAATTTTTAAAAATATTTTTTCATAATTTTTTTTTTTGCGACGGTAAAAAATGCCGTCTCAAAAAACAGAGTATTTGCGACGGTAAAAAATGCCGTCTCAAAAAACAGAGTATTTGCGACGGTAAAAAATGCCGTCTCAAAAAACAGAGTATTTGCGACGGTAAAAAATGCCGTCTCAAAAAACAGAGTATTTGCGACGGTAAAAAATGCCGTCTCAAAAAACAGAGTATTTGCGACGGTAAAAAATGCCGTCTCAAAAAACAGAGTATTTGCGACGGTAAAAAATGCCGTCTCAAAAAACAGAGTATTTGCGACGGTAAAAAATACCGTCTCAAAAAACAGAGTATTTGCGACGGTAGAAAAATACCGTCTCAAAAAAGAAGAGTACTTGCGACGGCAGAAAATACCGTCGCAAATACTCTCTTTTTTTGCGACGGTATTTTTCTACCGTCGCAAATACTCTGTTTTTTGAGACGGCATTTTTTACCGTCGCAAATACTCTGTTTTTTGAGACGGTATTTTTTACCGTCGCAAAAAGTCACTTTTTGCGACGGCAAATGTACCGTCGCAAATAGTTCCGTCTTTTAAGCCCCATTTTCTTGTAGTGATTTATTCTAATTTCTACTATACCGTTGATAATTGTTTTGTTTGATGTCCTTGTAATTTGTGAACATCTATGTTCAACTGTTTTATTAAGTGCTATTATTTGAGCTGCTTTTAGTGATGTGGCTGATGTCCAACCATTCCCCAAAAAATTATCCCACATTTCAATTTTTATTTTATTTTATTGTTCTCTTATATATATACATGTATTGTAGAGTAATGTTGTAGATTTTACTAAAGAAGGCTTGAATATTACTGTGCATTAGAGAAAACAACAAAGTAATGTTGGCAGCAAACTAGAGGAACTATAGAGATGCCTCGTAATTTCATAAAAAGAAGTCCTAAATGAAAAAAAGAACTAAAAAACTCCATATTGACAACACTATTTTGACCTCATATTTTAGAATTTAGTTTTTTCTTAAGCCATTAACATCATATGGGTTTCTCTTGGTTTGATTGAACCTCAAATTTTAAATGCAATTCTTTTCATTAGTAAATCTCATCCACATTACATAATTATGTCATCGTGAGATTCTTATAATTTGGTGTAACTTTATATTTGGCTCCGCTCATACCATGAAGAGAGTTTATTGGAATTACAGGTCGTTTTACCTTTATCTGCGGGTGACTCTTGATGTCCATTTTTAGAAAGATTTGTGATTGAATAGTTTAGATATTGTGGAGATTGTAATGGCTCTAGAAGAGGAGTTCAAGCTAGATATTCCAGATAAAGAAATTGATAAGATTGATTCCAATTTTTTTATTCAGAAATGTCACACGATCACGTCCCCTAGCCAATCACAACTTATTATATCATCTCATATTTTTTAATCACTCAATGTAAATTCGTGAATTCTATCTTTCCACCAATCAGTTAAAATGTCGAGTAACGGTGGCCCACTTTATCTGGAGTTGGTTGGGGTCTGTCTCTATTCAAAATTGCACTAACTAACCTTTCTGTCTCTAAAGAAACTCATAAGATTGATTCCTATTTTATTGATCTAGAAGTGTCACATGATCACGCCCCTCGCCAATTACAATTTATCATATCATTTCATATTTTTTAATCACTCAACATAAATTCGTGAATTCTACCCTTCCACCAATCAGTTAAAATGTCAAGTAACGGTGGCCCAAGAACCACCAATAACTTGTCTTTGGGGCACTACATACAAACTGCACTAACTAACTAAACCACTTTATCTGAAGTTGGTTGTCTCTATTCATTTCTTGATCTTGTGTGTAAAAACTCTCTGAAAACCCTTCCTCTCTCTTCTCTCTTCTCTCTTCTCTCTCTATTCCCATTCTTGGAAAGAAGCAACTATGGCGAATCAAGAAAGAAATACAGAGGCCACCGATGATGCAATAATGTCATCTTCTTCGGACTACAATCTCTATCTCCCCATGGACATCATCGTCGACATTCTTCATCGTCTCCCTGTCAAATCTCTCCTTCGATTCAGGTGCGTATGCAAAACCTTCCGCCACCTCATCTCAAACCCTACCTTCATCTACTCCCACCTCCTCCACCACCGCACCACCACCGCCACCATTTTCACCTTCAAACACCGCACCACCACCTCCCTCTCTGTGTTACAATCACTCTCATCGTCTCAAAACCCTAGCAATCTGGTCCACCCCTTTCCCAACCACACTCGCGACCTACACCTAATCGGCTCCATCAATGGCCTCCTCTGTCTCTGTCTCTCTCTCTCGAACCATCCACACCATGGCCAGCGGCGCATCATCCTCCTCTGGAACCCCGCTACCAAACTCTTCAAATCTCTCCCCCCTCCCACCATCCCAATTCCTCTTAGGCTTTTCCTTTTCGACCACAACTTTGACGACTCTCTCGGCTTCGGATTCCAATTCCATTCTACTTCGGCCAGCGACTACAAGATCGTCAGGATAATTTCTTTTCGCGCAGTACCGTCCCGAGTCGAGGTCTACTCTGCAATTTCTGATTGTTGGAGAGAGATTCAGGTGATGGATTTGCGCTTTTATATCCATAAATTGTCTTGTGAGATGATTGTCAATGGAGCTCCCTATTGGTTGCTGTCAACTCCTTCAAATCGTTGTCTTTGCTTCACATTTTTTGATGTTCAAAATGAGGCTTTTGTCATGTTGCCGGGGTTTGATTTTTCTGGGTTCTACATCGGGACTCTTGTCCACTGGAAACTAATGGATTGGAAAGATAATGCTGCTGTGGTTGTGTGTTGTCCTGGCAACCCATTTTTTGATGTGTGGATGATAGAGGATCGTTGTGGCGGTGAGAGCAATTGGTGTAAGAAATTTGTGATTGGACCGGTTTTCGGTGTTGAAATGCACGAAGAATGGTGAGATTGTCGTCGCAGATGCATGGGAAAGGATATTCTTGTACAACCCCCGAAATGGAGAGACTAAAGATATTCCAATTCATGGAGTTCAGTTCGAAGCTTTTCACTATGTAGAGAGTTTGGTTTCCATCGAAGGATTCAGACAACAAGAACTGAACAATCAGCACTGATGTTCTACAAAGGTCAATTCATCACTCAATCAGATAAATAACTCGAGCATTTGTTTATGCTACTTACTGCAATGCATTTGGTTTATGGAAGGCTATTGTCCTTTACAGTTTACATAGCATTGGAAATTAGTTTTTTTGTGCTTTTGGTAGCATATGAATGACACAGATAATTGTAATTGGTTTTCAATTTATCATAATTTTGACTCTACCATTGATTGTGGTTTTGTTTGGTTTCTTTTTAATTTGTGAACATCTGTGTTCAACTGTTATATGTAGTATTATTTGAGCTTGTTTCAGCAACGTGAGTCATGTGACTGTTGTCCAACATTCCCTCCAAATATTATCCTGCATTATAGTTTTGAATTTATTTTATTTATTTATTTTAATTCTTATTTTTGTGTAGTAGTGTTGTAGATTTTACTAAAGGCAACCACTGTGAATTACAGAAAACAATAGAGAAGTGTTGGCCGCGAACAATAGAATTATAAAGATGCTTTATAATTTCATAAAAAGAAGTCCTAGATAAAACTAGAAGGCTCCATATTAACAAAATTATTTTGGACCTCAGATTTTTGGAATTAAATTTTTCCTTGACTTGATTGAACGTCAAATTTATAACGCAATTTTTTCATCAGCAAATTTCATTGTCAGTGTTACATAATTATGTCTAGCATGGGATTCTCATATATCTCTGGCTACACTTGTAGCACGGGGAGTTATTATTGGATTTGGAATTACAATTCGTTCTGCCTTCATCTGTAGGTGACTCCTGATGTCCATTTTCATGAAGATTTGGGATTGGATAGCTTAGACAATATGCAGATTGTGATGGCTCTAGAAGAGGAGTTCAAGCTAGAAATTCCAAATAAAGAAGCTGATAAGATTGACTCATGTTTTCTTGCAATTGAGTAAATCTATAACCATCCATTGGATAGTTAATATTAGCGAATTCCTCTGATTTGAGCTTCAATCCTATTTCATTTGCTTGTACTATCCTTAAAAAACAAGTGTTCTAGTCCTTTCTTTCTTTTGATTTTGGATGTTAGTACAAATTTTATTCCTGTTAAGGGATGGAATGGAAATAATTGGAGTTCTGTTTGTGTAGTTTGTAGGTTGCTTTGCAATGTTTGCTATGCTTTTGCTTAACAAGATCTAATGTTTCGTTCCTCTCAAATTTTGAATGAACTGGCACAATTCTCGATCTGTTTACTTTCATTTTTTGAGATGTTATTTCTGTTAACATGGTTTTTTTTT